TTTCTCGAAGAAGGGACTCTTGTGCAACGTCTCCATAAAGACTGTTTGCAGGACGAAGGCATTACACCCGTAGGCGTTGTATAACCTGAAAACCGCTTTGGAATCGTCGCTGGCGTCCCCATTTACACGTATAATCCTCTAAGACGGTCTTGGAGAGACGATTATAAACTTGAGAGCTGCACCAAACTCGCAAAAATCACAACACGGTTAAACCTTGGCTAAGCGCAAAATGTGGAATATTTAACATGAATATTTTAAGCGCAACATATTTCATAAATCTCTGTTCGTCCCCATTACGTACATAAAAGGCGTTACCCGTTCAAATAAATAAGTACGCGTTGCACCTTCGTTAAAAAAAGCTCATACCTGTGGGACGTTAAAGAGGATGTACTGGAACTAATTTGAAATCGATAAAACCGAGTTCTATTGCGTTCTCTCTCTTTTTCTCAGGCTAGTAACGCGGCCATCGAGTCACGCCAGTAACCTAGACATTGCATCGTAATTTCTCGCACGCGGTAATAGACACGCCGTGTCGCGATGACCGTATATACGCCGGGTACGTGGATGAAAAACGGGACGTCAGATTCTGACAGCTACGCAAGACTTACATCGGTCAATTTCCTCCCGTGATAACTGTCAACGTGATTGATAAACACGCGCCATGGCTTGAAAGGGGATTCGACAGGTTCCTGCGACGGAGGAAAGATCTTCCGTCTCTGAAACAGGTTAAAATCGCTCGCGGTGTTGGAACTCGAGTTTCGTCTCTCCTCTGGCTGTTGTATCGTGATCTTCTTCATCGTCGATGTCGCTTCTTGTACGTCGACACGAACCGTGATTCCGAGTTTTCTGGGTGTCTGAAGTTGAAACTATTCGATGACACGCGCGACTTCAGGTCTTGTGATTCGTTATAAAGGTTGTTTTTGGAATAACTTACCTTAGGTTAACTTCGACCACCCGTAACTCGACAAAGACAGCTCCTTCGGTATTTACACCTATTTCTGAAACACTCTGACCGGTCTAATAGGAAGGGTACGCAACAGTTTCCCGTGCTCACCCTCGCACGATTCGGGGTAGAAATGTTGGTCGCGATAGTTCGGAGGGTCGAATCGTCACCGTGTATCCACTTGGAGATTGCACCACGTGCTAGAAAGGTAAGGTCAGGGTCAGGGATATTTGGTCACGAGGAAGATCGTTGCGTCACGTAGCACCGCGGTCGTGAAATCGAATATCCTGCAAGTAAAATTTATCGAACGGTGGATCGGACGCTGTTGCTCATCGGCGGAGAGTGGCTCGGGACCCTTCGTTAACCGAGACGAGCCTCGGACCGTGCGTATCGTCGTCGTAAAAAAGAAGGAGCACGCCGCAGAAACGCACGAACCACCCTCGACGGCCTCGCCGCCCACGCAAACCGGGATGCGAGGGTCAAGGCTGGCTGGGAAACCATGCGGAAGATTGAAAAGCGTAGCGAATCGATAATTGGACGGGGTTGACAATGGGGAATTCCCGAATTTAGGAATGGGAAGTGTCAATCGGAATCCGTTTCGCCCGTTCAAGAGAATAAATAGTATAGGGGGGTGTTAAATAAAGGGACGCTGAAAACAGTGGCGTACCGAACGATATGCAACGATCGCGACCAAATATTCGCAGCGATTTCGAAACTGGTTCCGCTTTGAAAAACGATAATTGCCTGTTCTTGCGTGCGGTAAATATAATGGCGAACGTTTACTTCGGGCGTTAAGTAGAATAAACGTTTTTAGTCAGACCTTAGTCTCCGGCCATCGATGCGGGAGAATGGTGCAAATGAATCGTAGAATGAATTGGTATTAAAGTTTTGATCCTGGCGAGGGCCTTGTACGCATTCTAAATTTATTGAATCGATAGAAAGATTTTTAATGATTATTTGTTTTAAAAAAGGTTGGAAGGTTTAGTTTGTACTGTGACGCCGTGAATTGATCGTCACGTTATTCGAGCTGGATCAGATAGGCGGGCAAAAAAATATTTCAAACGAAAGTTTATTGGTGTCTCGTGAAGAATTTATCGGTGTAAAAAAAATCTTTAGAAGTGTCGTATTTCTCCATAAAATACTAGTGCTATCTCGTGTTTTTTAAATAGCCGTGCGTATTTTCCTTTTTATATTTCTAAACTACGCAAAAGACAACTGCGTAAATTGCGATTTAAGAATATAGTGCACTTTAGGAAATAAAATGACTTGAGGGATTGGTTGGAAAATGAATTCCATCAAAGATATTTTTTACACCGATAAATCCTTCGCGCGAGACTTTTATTCGAAACATTTTATTCTTGAACTATCAAAACCGGCTTAAATATTCTAGCGATCGATTTACGACCCGCCCTCTTACATATACGTGCACGCTTGACAGCCAGATTTGTGCATGCCCATGATTTATACGGTTACTTTCGTAATATTTTATGCCAGAAAGTGAAAAAATCTTGTACGGAAGATTACATGCTATTAAAATGTCTAATCAAATGCTGTCTTTACGCTCTAGGATTCATATTGAACTATTACCTTTATTCATACTCAAAATTAGAACATGGTGGGACGAGGGTGAAGGTTATCCTTGTTATAAGTAACGAAAACCGAAGGTTGGTTCTATAACTATGGAATTGAAACTCAATAATTCAATAATAATTGTAGCCATAGAATCGAATAAGAGTTAGATACTCTTTGGACAAGCACTAGAACGAGAGACGACACAAGACAACCGTATGAATTTTCTTCGTTCTTACTACACACTACATTTAACCTTGTTGTTATGTTACCGTATCATAAAACATCCCGTACGAGCTCCCCGCTCATAAAATCGAAATACCCACCACCTACAGTAGCTCAAGCTGTTCCCTCTTCCACGCTATTCCTTCGACGAAGAAAATAATTTTCAACCCTCCCGATGTAACATTCAACGTGTTACTTTGCAGGTCTCCTAAGTACATATTGGCATATCTATTTAATTCTAATACGAAATTCGGAAAGAATCGCCGATCAGAACAATTTAAATCGTCCAGCGCGTAGTTCCATCACGATCCTCGATTCAGCGTCTCGATCAGCTGATTTTTCTCCGTTGTTTTCGAGATATCGAGTCCCATACGTGACCAGGAACGTTCCCCCTTAACGAGTTGGTCAAACAGTAGCAGACCTTGGTCGAGAGCCAAACAATAGACCCAAGTATCCATCGGTAGCCTAGATATCCAACCAGGGGGAACATCTCGCAAATGAAAAATCGAAGTTAAAATCCTGTTGGGACTCTTATTCCGTTCGTAATAAGGTCCTCTCGGTGGAAGGTTCTCGAATTGTCGAAACATGAGGCGGCGTCGAGGCCATCGGAGCACATCTTTCGAAATCGATCGCGAGAGCACGACGAACGGCACGATAATAGACTCATAATGGCGGCACGTACAATTCCGAGAAAATGACATCTATCACGGCAACAAGCGCACAGAATGAACGTTGCGTGCAAATAGATTAAGGCGGAGGAATTGTTCGCGATAGAATTCACTGGGAACAATAATCGGGAGGAGATCGTGATTGTTCTACCAAACGTTGACACGCGACGAGGAATAATCTTGAGAAGCGCAATTATGTTGGTTCGTTGATGGAAAAAATGCTCCGGGGCTCGTTTTTATTTTTCCTCCGTTTCCGACGGGCCCGAGTACAACCAGTTCCCAATTGTTTGGCGCGCTCTGTGTTTCAGCGGTGAATTCGTTTACGCAAATGCGGCGTTTAACTAATAACGTTACCGTGTCCCGGGAAGCGAATAGAATTTTAATGGATCGATGGGGTCCACCGCGGCGCATAAATCCTTCAACCGGCGGTGAATCACGCCGGAACAGCGTAATTACTGAAATAAAGGAGAGGATATGAATTCCCCGCGGATAGGAATTGAAATCGAAACGCGAGGGGGCGTCGCCACGCGGAGGAGACGCCGTGGGAAATAATTGTTCCTCGCGAACGGCACGGACACGCGAATAGCTAATGAAGCGTCTTACCCGTCGTTCGAAAACCCGTCTTATTTGCATTGTTCGCGAAGGTCCCGTCGTATTATTGCGCGAACCGACGGGCTGAAAGCACTTCCTGTCATTAAACGGGGAATTCCCATTAAGAAGCCGACTATTTACGCGGTTATTGGAACTTTTCTCAACGAAAAGCTCGTGGAATACAAGCACCAAAACTTTGTTCATACACTTACTAAGCGGTATCGTCGTATACGAAACACACAAATTTTGCCATATAATAGTGAATAAGAAAGAATGTCTCGGAACAAAACGGCTGACAATGAGTCAAAGATCCTTATGGCTTTCTCTTCCTTCGTAGGATGTGCACACAATGCTGCACAGTATATTGTCCGTTAATGATTAAGGCGTATGTGCATATAGTTTCCTCGAAACGTCGCGGTTTGCGTGGATCGTCTTCGGTACGTTGCGCAAACCCGACGCCATGTTTACCTGTTGCCACAGTGGGACGTTCGACTTCGATTGCATCGTCGCGAATAAAAATATTATAACATCAAAAGACATCGTGGGATGCGACTTTTTTCCATATCATTTTCTTGCAATTTCGAATTTAAAAAAGTGCTTGTCCCAGTTTCGAAAATCATGTTGCTTCGACCGTGCGTTAAATCAAATTTCCTATTTCTATGTAAATTTTCTGTAGAATATCGCAATATATATTTTGCACGTTATTTATTCTTTACCGTGTACCTCGTAAAAAGACGTTGTAACGATTTAAAAGAGAAATACTTAATATTCATGAGCGTCTTCGGGATGGGGCACCTATTTAAATTAACCGGGGGTTTGATTAACCCAAGGTTCAAACGATATCGCGAGTAATTAACGAACGAGCCGAGCTGTTCTCAGAGATCATGTTTGCGGAAGGGCTCGAACAATTAGACATCGAATGGTCGGTGGATTTTACTTTGAAATTGAGCGCGTATGAAATCGAGCACGCACGCGACGCTAACACGATGTGAATTTGTTCGCAGAAGAATGGACGGAAACATTCCCGTATCAGATGCTGGTAGGAACAGGAATAGTGTTAATGGCTTTATTCCTGCTGGCCGCGGTGAGCTTCCAGTGCTCGTTTACCTGGAGATGGTTAATGAGGGTTAGGCGGCACATGAACGAGGAAGACAACGAGAGCGATTTATCACAGCAGAACGCTATACGTATCAGCCATTCGCTGCCGGATCTTCAATCAGAACCGATTACTCACGAGTACGTCCAGGAGCAGAAGGATAACAAAAAGGTACCGAGCGTAAGAAGCCCTTGATAATAACGTAACGTCGCGAATTCCCATTCACGGGCTGGATAAAGGATGTCCGTGGAAATAGCTTCGCGGTTGGAATCTGAAGATAATCCCGCCGGATGTCCTGGGAATAATACTTAACCCCGCGACCTTACGCCCACGCTCACCGAACGAAGATGTACGCACTGTCGACGCGCGCGACGATGGCTCAACTTTCCACAGTTTTAATTAATTAAGAAAACTTTACGCGTAATTCGTCGTATTTTAAGCCGTTAAATAATACTTTGCTCGCTAAAGAGGGCTCCTCCTCGTAAAAGCGAATATTCCCTTGTAAAAGACGCGGATGAAATTTTCATACGGCGGGAAAAGATCGCCGGGGAAAGTTCCCGTGGTAAAAAGTCGGGTAACGAGGACTTCCTGGGTGATGTTTAAATATTGAGACGCGACTCGTTCGCCTTCTTTTTCCAGGTGCTGCGACAGACAACTTTGCCCATCGTGCCGATGAGACATCAGAGCTTCCAAAGGCAGCTCTCCCATCGGCTCGATCTGCCGAACATCAAGTTCAGCATCTGCAGCCTGGAGAATCGCAGCGATTCGAGCCTCGGGTTAATTAAGGTGCGCTTCGAAACACACCGGCAACTCGTTCGCTCGTTTTCCCCGTCCGCAATCTTCTCAGGCCAACTTCCGCGTCGAGCAATTAAGCGGGGAACGGAATTTTTCTTCCCACTCCTGTTCGAGACGAAACAAATTAGCGAATTCAGTCTTTCCCCCTTCCCTCCCGAAGTTTGTCGTTTTTTCTAACTATGCACGTCCGCGGTTCGCAGCCGGAACTTTACAAGAAGGAGCTGGTGAGGCAGGAGAGCACCGAGAGTTCCAGCACCACGGAAATGGAGTACGCGGGGAAGCTGCATTTCGCTCTACGCTACGACAAAGAGATCGAGGGTCTGGTCGTTAAAGTGAGTTTTACGATTTACCTAATGGATTTCCATTTGTTGCGCGGAATGATTCTTGCGAAGTTACCCTCGGGAATGGTCGGAAACGCGCTGAATGGCCCGAACAAAATACGCGGTGGAACGTCGATTTTTCGAACTAACAGGATTGCAAATTCGTTAATCGATTTCTGCGTGAGTTTCACGAATTTTCAGAGCCCGCGACCAGATATTCGGTTATCGATTCTGCTCGATACCAAATGAGAAGCTAAGATTTCCTATATTTTATTTTCTTTATCCGATTCGCGGCCATTAAAATTGTTTTGCGCCGGTAATCGAACAACCCCCGTGTATTGTTGGAAAAGTCGTGGACGCAACGGAAACGTCTGTCTATCGAGTGACGCGTATCGCGTATAAAGCCACGCGCTATTCCAAGCATCTCAATTCCCGCTACACAACGAATACCATCAGCGAGCAGAAGCTGCAGGGAGCTTTTTCTTTAAGCAGCGCACGTAACTGCGAAATCAACATGGGGCACACAGAGGCATCGAGAAGAATGCTTCCCGCGCAAAACGATGACCGACATTCGCGTTCCAGTTTCGTCGGCAGCTCGGAATTATATCGGTCTCGATTTATGATATATTCGATCGCGTGCGGTCGCATCGATTATGTCGCGGCTGCGTGTCTCGAGGCTGCACCCCGCCGCGGAAAGATTTATTCGTTTCGGGGGAAAGTGCATAAAAGTAATCGATGCCGCAGAAATTAATTTCGTACTCTCCGTCCCGCGATTTTCGTCCTCCGGCGACGTTCAATCCTTCGCGAAGACCCCTACGTGCGCGGAAATTTTAATGAAATTTAATTTCCACGGTGAAAGATTCAAAACGAGATCCTTTGTACGACGATGGACAAATTTATTCGACGAAAGTCAGTGGTAAATTAATTTTTCGGATCGATACCAAAGTTCTTTCCAAGTCTGATTTCTTCGATTGTGTATTTAAAACTTTACACTCTATATCTTCGAGCTGTTGTTGACCGTCCAACAGAGTGCAAAGAAGTTACTATGACAATAAAGTGATCCGATAAGAAGATATTTCATCTAGCTGCTTCCGATTGAGAGCAAATTGTTCCCAGGTTTCTTTCGAAGCGCGGCGTCTGATCGGTTACAGCATTATCTACTTGAAACTTGGTGTACTTTATTTCCAAACTATCGTTGGACTCCCGAAGTGCAAAGTTGAGCTGCCAAAACGACTAGCTCATCTTTTCAGCCATCGAGCATTTATTACTAACATACGTAACGAGCTCGACCCGTGGTAGGATGGAAAAAATAATAAATAATAAATAAACCTAAACTATGTCCCGTAATTCAACTTACGTATAAATTCGTTTATAGATTGAAATATGTAGGTCACCCTTATATATCATTTTCCAATTTTTCTTTCTACTTCGCCCCGGCGAAGAGGTCTGAAATGGAACAGCTTGAGTGTCTCGATTAGATTAATTGCGTTTTCATTAAGACGCTTTCTCACTGTCCAAATGGCAGAAAATTGTTAAATGCAGTAGTTCGCGAAAATTCAGGATGAAAACTCCGACAATGACGATCGATTATAGAATATAATCACAGAAAAATGTCGAAGCAGTTTGTACGTACTCCGAAGAGTGAATCGATTAGTAAAACTCGATGGATTCCAATTCTCGAATGAATTTCCGCATAAAACGGAAACTGGTTGACGGCCGAATCGGTTGTTTTTATTCGTTATTCGCTAACGAAGTTTACCCGACTCTGTCCAACGTGCAGCAGCTCGATCCTCGTTCACCGTGCAAAACGTTTTCGCAACACTTCGCGCGCGTGGGCAAATTCAGTTCACGATTGCACTGTACCGGCTAATTACGTGGCCGCCATATTTAGCGCGAGTTATTGGATAACGTTAATGAAGTGCAACGGTGCTCGTGCGACGGACACACGCGTCCTTGGCATCCGTTTGATTACGATTCACCGTGGATTGGGTAATGTCGACGGTGTAACATTCCTGCGTCAGAACGGAATCGAGGGAGATTGAATTTGTTATAAATAGGACGGAGCCCACGTTTCGCGGCACAGAAATATAAAATGCGCGAATCGCGAGCTCGACGCGCATCGCGGTTCATTCATAAATCCGACCAAGGACGTGGATAAAGAAACTCGCGCGAGCAACTGCCCACGATGTCCTGAATTTTTCTCCCGCGACCGTGTAATTATGTTAATACCCGTTTTATGTAGAGTTTCGCTGGACAGCCGCGAGATTAAGAGTAGAAAGAAAGAGGTCGTTGGTTCTGGAGCGAAAAATGTAACCCAATATCGTTGACTATATGTTTTCGATATTATGTAGCGTATATGCAGAGATTATCAAGCACATAGATTATTAAGCATGCAGGTTGCACATACGCAGTCGAACTTGGTTTTAACGAGCATGGGAATAACGAGATCACGGCTGTAATAAGCTAAAAGCCATAATGATTTTAATTTATGGTTATTCCCATACAATTGCTCGCGTCCCTAACGAGCGTGCTACACGGATGCACGGCACAAATTTCGTAAAATTTGAGAAATATCAAAGCGTAATCGCCAAAGTAAAATGTTTAATATTAAATGTTATTAAATAATATTACTCTCTCTGATGGTACAGACGACAGGTTTTTAATATACGAGAAAGGTATACATGAGGAAATGAAGTGTTGAATAAAAGAAAAGAAAATATAGGGAAGAAGGTACACATGATCGATATTATATTGGTATATCGACTATTAGAAATAATATTGACCGTCTAGGGTTGATACGGCGGGTTGATGGAATACTTTGAAACAAACCGAAGGTGTGACATTATTGAAATCCTTTCAATATATTCAAATGCGTGTGGGCAGTATCGTGGTGTATTAACTTTGCTCGTGTGTACTTTTGCACTATTTACATCGCTCTGCGACGCCTTCCATTCACGTTTAAAAAAGATTACAGAAATTTCTGAATACCATTTCCCTCTGTAATAATACACGACTCTCTTTGTCGTTCCAAAGACTGTCGAAGACGTTCAAACATTCCTGCGAATATTATCGCAAGCGGATGGAGAAGGTCTTCCCCTGAGAGACTCTGCCCACTCCGTATTAGAATGCTCCACGTCCTAATAAGACTGTCTTGATTATCAAACGTTTACGTAGAAACTGATTTATTAAGACATAAGCTACATTCCGCAATATTGACTCACATTACGACAAACCTTGAATGAAAAATAATGTCGCGTTTAGGTGTTGGAAGCTCGAGAATTGCCGGTGAAAGATGTGACAGGCAGCAGCGACCCCTATATAAAGATATACCTGTTGCCGGACAGGAAGAAGAAGTATCAAACGAAAGTGCACCGGAAGAACTTGAACCCTGTGTTCAACGAGACATTTATCTTCAAGTGAGTACTTCTGCTTGAACTTAGGTGCATCATTAGCGTCTCTATTGATCCTGCTAACCCTTGCACGTTCCGTGGAGTCGCGAACGATCTAGGAATTAATTGAAGCTCCCTGACAAGTATTTATTAATATCTGTCATCAGCGTATCCTACGAAGAACTGAAGGAACGGTACCTCCAATTCTCGGTTTACGACTTCGATCGATTCTCTCGGCACGACCTGATCGGACAGGTTGTTGTCAAAGGATTGCTAGAGTGCACCGACCTTGAGCAAGAAATCGCCTACACGATGAACATTCTATGCGCTTTGCAGGTAGCCTGAATTCGTAGTTGAAGTAGCGATACCGTAGTCGATTTCTAAAAACGATCAAACATAAACTGTGTCGTGGGTCGCATGTTCTTTCAGGAAAGGATGGACCTGGGAGAATTGATGCTGTCGCTTTGCTACCTCCCAACAGCTGGCCGACTAACAGTGACCGTAATTAAGGCTAGGAATCTGAAAGCCATGGATATAACAGGATTATCCGGTAAATTTATCTCAATTGTTCCATGGATTCTTTTGTGTTTCACCAGAACGGTCTCGCGGAAGATTCTGCAACACGTTGCGCAACGTTGATTCGCGTACAGCCTAACGTCAGTGTTGTTCGTTAGGTATTGAGTCACTGTCTCCTGTTATTACTTTATTACTATTTGCATAGTAACGATATAATTAGCATAGTAATACGTTTTTGGCTTTGCATGCACCGTCGCATAAAAAATGCTCGCTCTCGCGACAAAATAAATAATACATGGAGAACGGCAATCAACAGAAAGCATAGTGATTTGGTAAATTAACGTTTCAGCGTCGTAATTATCAGCGAATTTGATATTTTATGCTATAAAACGATTTCGTACACAAGGTTCGAAGGGATGAACGAATTTTCAGATCCGTACGTGAAGGTGTACCTGCTCTGCCAAGGCAAAAGGATCAAGAAGAAAAAGACCACGGTGAAGAAGAACACGTTGTGCCCGGTTTATAACGAAGTCCTAGTGTTCGACGTGCCGGCAGCCAACATCGAGGACGTCAGCCTCATAGTAAAAGTCATTGATTACGACAGGTGAGCGAGATGCGATTATTGAAAGAATCGCGAGACCACCGGAGCCACGATCGACGTCGTCTAATTACCTGTTCAAGGATTGGATCGAACGAATTGATGGGTTGCACGGCGATCGGCTCCAGTTTCATCGGCGTTGGTCGTGACCATTGGTTGGAGATGCTGGATAATCCAAGAAAACCGGTGGCGCAATGGTACCCCCTTCTAGAAACAGTCGCTGGTCATATACCATCTGTGAATTCGGAGCCACTTCCGATGAGCCTGAGTTGCTTAAATAAGAGGCGAGTTCTACTTATTAAATAAGAAATTTAAACGTAGGGTGGCCATTTATTTGACGTCTTCAATTTTTTAAATATTTTACGTCCTCGTCTTTTCTTTTTCCAGATGAAGACAGCACGGCCGGAATAAGTTTCGCGGGAAGTCGCAGTTTTTGTCGGACGTCGGCTTGGGCGTTGTTTCCTTCTGTAGTCATTTAATGCACACCGCTTGACTGACTTAAGTACAATTTCTATCACAAATGGCTCCGAAGAAAAACCAAAAAAAACAAAACTCTGTGCTTTGGAATATAATCATGTGACGAGCGTGGAATAGTAAACCGAGTAGTAGAAACGTTTGCGAGGCGTAGTATTAAATAGAGAAACGACGGTAGGCGAGGTTGCTCAAAGTAATCCTGACGAAGGAACGTTTCGGAGTAAAACGAAAGGATTGAAAAGAGATACAGCCAGCACAAACGATAAAAGAGAGAGCAAGGAAGATAGAATAGGTTTATTTTTGTGACAAAAAATAAGAGAAAAAACGGGTCCAGGCTGGCCCTGGACCCGGGCATACAGATGAATACGGACCGTTTGTCGACTGTACTCGTCATATTTTATCCAACGAGAGAGAACTATATTTGACTCAATGGACGGTTGTGAATGAATCAATTTTGTACAAGGCCCGTGTTAATGCGCCGACTGTTTCACCTTCGATAGCTTTCGGCGTGTAAAATTGCAAAGATGTTCCACTTGCTTTCTGACCGAACGAAGCGGGCACAATAGCGGATGACGACTATCGACGGGTGCATAAAGTCTCCACGGATAGTATTGAAAAATAATTATCCAACGGACCGGGATCTGGAACAGAGTCCTCGCTGCAGACAGCGGCTCTTCCAAGTAATTGTTGTACCGTGAATCGTCACGAAGGAAAAACGATCGAACGCGCAATGTTTCCGGTTTAAATTGCTTCCACGGTCGTTCGCGGCTTTTTTCGATAACCTCAGAAGTCATTATTTTTATCTATTCGGTCATTTTAACGTCGGGAACAGATTTTTATCCGAAGGTTAAGTTCAGAGCGTATAATTTCACCGGCCATTCCGGATCGAAAATGTATTTTAAATACAGAAAACACGACTTCAGGATATAAACTCGAACATACAGTAGAACCTCGATAGTTGCAAAAAGGATCCCGTGTCGTAATTTGTTGCCAAGTGATCGTCTGAAAATCATATTCAGTTACCTGGCTAAGGCTAGCATGCAAAAATTGAAATTCGTATGCAAGTGTCAAGGTTTGTCTGCTGTTATCGAGGCAACAAGGATGTAGTGTTACGCGGTATATACTTATGGCTCGTACCTAACATTACTTATTATTAAGCGACTCAATCGACTCAAGTGAAAACTTGAGATGTATGACCAAATTTGGGAGTTCGTATGCAATTATCGAGGTAAGAACAATATTAAGGAACAGTTCCACTTGCACGATACGTCCCCTTCTTAACGGCACTCATGGCAAAGTGACCATCCCTTCTACTCGGTAAGAGAGTGCAAGTATCGAGACTCGAGATATACGACCAAGTATCGAGGTTCTGCCGTGCGCAGACACAGTTGCCTACTACATAAACACAGGCGAAACAATATACGTACACTAAATGGCTTCCAACATTGGTTCTCGCGAGTCATCGATCTGCAATGATCAGACTCCCCTTTCGTGCTTCCGGGGTACCTCTTTCTGTCGATCAATTTATGCATGACACCGCGAAGAGAACGTTCTAACGACAATAAGCCATGTAACCAGGTAGACCTCTCCTTAGACTTTAAATAGCAATATTCCTAACAGTAACGCTGTATCGTTGTGCATCGCGCAAAGAAACCAAACACTAAAGAAAACAACAAAAGAAAAAAAAAAAATGAAATAAGCAAAATGCAAAAATGAAGAATAGGTGTTTACTAATTCACGCTCTTCAGCCATTTTTTCCGTGCAAATGTTCTTGTATTACCGTGATACGTGTTTAGATTTAAAGCTCGTCGAAGGGCACCGTTTGTGATAACACACCTGGACAGGCGCGCGAAACGTGACCCGAGAAGAATGTGGATGGGTGATGGATGGATCGACACTCGATCGTGTACTCGATAATAATGAGTGTGTGACGTGCACGACGAGTCGCGTAGTAGAAAATACGCATCGTGAAAATGTGTACGCGTACGATTCAATTTCGAGAACACGGGTTTGTGCAACAGGAGCACAGAATAATAGAATAAAATGGCGTGATTGTTTTACTCGCACTCAGGTGGATCACGAAACCGACGGTTTCTCGATCGGAGACTTCAATTTACAACACGAGACACAAGCATGTACAGAAATTGAACGTGCATGGGCGTCTCTGGACAGTGGATAGAGTAAGAGGGAGGAAGATGTTCGATCGAACATTACACCGTTTATTTAATTATTTGGATGGAATACTTCAGAGGGAGCAAAGTCGAACGAAATCCATAATGTTTAGCGAAGAGGTTGTGCATGCATTTATTACCGAGTATGTACGTTAACTGAGTTTCCGCTCTACCTGTGACATACACGTCGGTGATGTTTTGTTTGAATTTGCGACAACACTCTGTGTTCCAAGTAGCTGAGAGTAGTGATGGGAATCGAGACACTTCGAATCAGTTTGAAACAGGCCTGGGCAGAAATTGATGTAGATTGAAAACTACTTTGGTAGTCGAACAGCGTAACGATCGAATCGAATGAAAATTAACAAGCGAACAATTTGGATGCCCATCACTAGTTGAAAGTATACTCGATCTATATCAAGAATTATTATACGATTACGAAACGTAAGAGAATACCAATACAAAATACCTGAGAAAAGGTGATATTATAAGTAGCGAAACAAATGGAAATGTGCCAAGATACAAGTAGTCGTAGAGTAGCGTAGCGAAACGTAGTGCACACGTATGCTTTCCATAGTTAATCCTCGATGTATATATTTGTAACGTCCTCGTACCAAACCGTACCTAGTCAATTTGGCCATGGCTGCCCGTCAGTTTTAACGGTCGTCTTTAAAAAATCCACGCAGACTTCTCGTCTCGTCTGTTGCTCCAGCGATGCCCATCACTTCGCGTCACACGAACAAAACCAAAAAAAGAGACAAAAAGACACTGTATTTTTCGTACGAACGGAACATTCTACTACAGACTGAGCTTACTCGTGTAACTTTCGCGTAGCAAACGTAACGATGGATGCGTCGTTTCACAATTGGAGTAGCCGTTTGAATGGGCTTGCTACGGTCGGCCCCCCCGAAAGAGTCCACTTGATCGCTGGAGGATGGTGGGTCATCAGTGGCCTTGACGGGATTAATCATTCTTCTGTGACTGTAGCGAAGGCACTGGTAAGGCTAGAATACTCAGGGTAGATAATTTCTGCTGCTCAAGGCCACTGACTATCCACCCCCTGGCCTTTGGATCTCTCAGTAGGTAGAGAAAAGTTACGATACCGCCCCAGTGAAAAATTTTGATAGCTCAAAGTCGCTGAGCAATTATCCTTGTCGCTGGAGAAACGTGGGGATAGCTCGCGAAGAATCTTAAGGGTTAATCGATGTTTTTCTAACGATAGTGATCGCATCGGATAGGCTAGTTATACTCTAGGAGAAAATGTTTACTGCTCAAGGTTGCTCAGCTATCCCCTCTACGCGCACGATTTGGAATACTGACCACTCAGAGCGATCGACTACAATTTGGTTTTACCATGCAAAGTGGGAATACCTATCGATGGACAAAACTTACAATTAATCTCGTTTTAATTCTATAAACTTGTTCGATACTACTTACGATACAACAGAGTAGAGAGAGAAACTCTTCCAAGTCGATTCTTTCGGCGGGCCGGGCGTAGGAACATTTTTCTACATACAGGAAACGCTTCGTGAACTTTAGAAGGTTAGATGACATTGGGCACGGTACATGATACTATTCCGTGCGAACAAAACGATTGTACACAATCTGTATCGTTTTTTGAATACGGATAAGCGTTAGTCGAAGCTAGAGAAGACACTCGATGTACCTAAAGTCAAACTGTCCTGTATTCGTCGATGTACCGACTCTTTTAGTCTGGAGTTTTTTTGTATTCGTTCCCGTGTATTATTAATGTGCGTAGCGTCGGTGTTCCGAGTTAAACGGCGTTCTATTTTGTACGTGAACGTCATCCGGCTAGCACCGGGACGCGATGTCGTCGACCACGCGTCGTTTCAATCTCTCCCGAGCAACCTTTCGCGACGCCCTCCCTCGCAGATAACCGTTGCTGATCAACGACGAACAATAAACAATGTCTATGTGCGTGCATACATATCAACTGATGCGAACAGAACGGGCTGACAGCAGAGAGATCACGCTGGGGGATGAAATATCCAGAGGGTGGGAGAGGCGACAACGTTTAAAGTCTACTCTGATCATGAAAGTGATATTCGTAATCGTATTTAACCAAACTGCAGGCCAATGAAATGATTACCACCACGGTACCGATGATAGTATGCATTTTCTAACGAGTATGTATATCTGTACTGTATAACCGGGCACGCAGTAGCCTCTTTGTGATTGTGAACGAAATAAATAAATCGGTACCACGTAGAAACTCTCGTTTTTCCTTGGAAAACCTCGGTAATATTTTATCCGAGCAACGGATAACCGGTAAAATAAATTTATTCGTGATGTTCGTCGATGGAGAACGGGACCAGCGTGTCGATCGAAAGTAAAAGAGTAAAACCGTCTGCAACATCAAATGTACTTTTCATTTATTTGACTACTTATCTTTACAGATTAGTCTACCTTATGCTAAGATACAACTTTCCCATTATGTTACCTCTAATCGAAACATTACGATAATACTAAGTATAAAATAAGCAATAGAGCTTATATTGGTATGTAGCAACGACTTAAGTACCTCTACTTAATAGTACTCCTGTTAAAAGATGCCGGGAATAAACCTGCGTCGTCCGTGTCGTCGACGAAGAGACTGATCGACGTGGGTGTCGCGGTTACGAATTTGGCTTATTCATTTTATTTCATTTACGTATCGGAGAAAAATCATATCAGACAAGCATCGAGGTTTCTTTAGAAGATTAATTGATTGCAGTCATTTGTTCGTCGATCGAACATCGATCCTGTTTTCTCTCCTACCGGTTCTCGTCTGCACCCCATCTACATCGTGCCGTGAATCGTGAAAAAGTTAGGCCATATTGATGTTCCTCGCGCTGCGCGTGTCCTCGCGTCACGCAATTTACTCGGTTTCTTTTCAATCATTAACGTCGTTTCTGTTTTTTTTCTTTCTCGCTCTCTGGCTAATCGGAAAATTTGTAATTACGCGTTCCAGGCGCTGGCTCGAAATTAACGATCGTGACGCGGCGTGTTAACGGTGGGCGGGTGAAATTGTTCGAAATATTAATTACGTTTGCCGCGGGAACGATGTTCAGTCTTTGAATAAATGCAACTGCAGCGATTAATAAGTCTCGCGGTACCGGATGGGCTTAAGCTTAATCCAGAGCGGATGGCTCAGTTTTTTTGCGTTGTAGCATTACGTGATGCTGTACAATGTTTATCGTTTATCGCTTATCAATAAGAAACGGGATCACGATTATAAAACGCTACTTGACGCGGATGAATCTCGATGAAATCTCGCGTTACGATCGCGCGGCACTACGATTTCTCGCTACTTTGTTTTTTTTCTCTTACTATTTCTCTGTGTTCGTTTTTCTTCTTTTTTTTTTCTTGCCACCTTGTTTAGCTCGGTTTCCTCTATGATATCGCGTGTATATTGACTTTTATCGATTGATTGGAAAATTACTTGGCGCTGCGCGGACGAAGGGCGCGCGATCGAAAGAACTCTTCGGACTCGCGACGATCTCTGGCGATCTGTGGCGTTTTGATTTCGACTCGATTCCAGCGATCGCGATCCCCTTGACCCGCCGCGCTATTAAATACTGAACGAGTTACGAATCTAACGACTAAGCGTCCGAGTAAGTGTTATTCCCGCGACATTTTGCGCGCGTCCCCCTCTCATCCGCCCCGTGATTACGCTTAGAAACGCGGAACGTTCGATTAATCTACACTTAAGTACGTTCTACGGACAGCTCCGTAATCTAAACGAACCCATCGATTCTTTTCTTTTCGCCTTTCGTCGTCCGTCTGTCCGTTTGTCTCTTTGCAACACACATTATCCTGCATCGTGCCTCGTCAGTTGCAAATAACGCGAACAACGCAAACGGTCGGCTCGACACGGGAAACCGTCCGCACCGGAACCTTTAACGTTCCTCGAATATACAAATATCTCCGTGTGTACACTAGCGTTCAGCGATTCATCGTTATTAATAGTTAAGTACATACGTATCGAATGTAACACCACAAACGTGTGATAAGAACACTAACAATTATACTCGTAATTAATAGCAATTGAGAATAATAATTAATGTTAATAATAATGAGAATAAAGTGTAGTTTGTTAATTGATAATTATAGGCAAACCTTTGTTTGTAGCGTTGTACTTAGCGTTATTTAAAATAGTAGCGTTTAACCCTTAACGTGTGTGTACCGAATTCGAGTTACGGACAGAAATCGACTTATTTTTTTTTTTTCTTTATCCTTTTAACTTCCTTTATATATAATAGCAATATGGAGGGAATTCACTAACAACTTGCTCGAGAAGTGCAGCGTTCTCACACACCTATAAACAAATATAAAAACTCCTTTTGTTTTTGTTTTTTTTTTTTTTTGTAATATTTTTCGCTTTTTCGCTTGGGTTTTCTATTTTTTTTTCTCGTGTTTTCTCTCTTTTATTTCGCGTTCCGTTTCGCGCGCGTTGCGCTGGCGTCGATTCCTGCGCGCACGCGTTTCACTCTTCTGGGTCGTCTCTTCGTTCACGCAGTCTTTGAATCGCGCGCGCACATTCGAATTTCTCGCGCGCGTTTCGTCGCCGAGCGATTTGCACGCTGGTGAACGCGTTCGAAGCTTCGCGTTCGCTCGCGAGGAAACGCGACGCAAGTCGCCAGAATACAGGAAACGCGGGCTGAACGTCGAACGTGCCACAATTTGTTTCGTTTTTTCTTCGTCATCTCTTCGCCGTTTTCCGCGGCCCTCCTCTCTCTCTCTTACATCGTAGCGAAAATAAGGTGTCGACAGTACGCGTCTGTACATATAAGTACGGATAAGTGAACAGTTGAACACGCGAGAAATTAACATTTATCCGAAGCACCAGGCACGATCCTCTTCCTCACGCATACACCGCAAGCGTGCACGATTACTCTCTTCCACACACGCTCCAGCTCGATCTCGCGACATTTTTCTCGTCGCAAGCGATGGAACTAATACCACACCGATACCGTATAACAAAGCATCATTTTATACGATACGCGTTAAGTACAAATTTAATATCGAACGAACCGAATGCCAAACGTGCAAACGGCAAGAAACGAAGTAACAATCGATAAGAAACAAGCAGTTACAAAGAGACGCAAACAATTTATAATTACGGTACTATCTCCCAGGTTGTCACAGAGTTATCTCCGCCTCTATAAACTGTATTACATTCATCCCACACATTCGTTCTAAACGCATACAAAGTCGAGCTAGCTGGAGAGATAACATTGACTAATTTGATCTATCTCCCTCGCATATTGTCACAATTCGGTCCCGAGCCTGTGAGAACCTCAGAGACAATACTGTACTTGTAAGTTCTATTTGCTTGCTCGCGCTGCTTTCTTCGTAGCAATATAGTATTCGTTTCTTACCTGTCGTACGTTTATATTTTCAACAACTACTTGGCTTACACGCTATTAATATCGATCGAGCGTTCATTCCACGAGTAATTGAATCGAAAATTTTCACCGACCGGCCGAGAATTCGACATTTTTGGATAATTGCCCTTAAGTACATCGACATCGAATTGCTCGAACGCCGTCAATGCGTAATGATATTAGTCCCGTCCCTGTTTGCCGCTGTCGAGCTTCCTCACTCACGCTCGTTTGCTTCTTCTCTCGATTCGCGAACGGAACAATATGAACAATCATGCATAAGCACGCCCATTAACGAGTAGCGGTAATACACCATTGTGTTTTTTCATTTTTTCGTAATTTTTTCTACTTCTTTTTCTTCTTAACACGTTTGTCGCACACGTAACATCGTCCTACGCGCGTATAAATTGTACGATAACGAGCGATCCGATCCGCCGATCGATCGATCGGAGGAGAACTGTTGCACAATAAGATTTGCGTTTGGCTAATTATAACGATTACAGTTACATTATCGTGATCTCCGCAAGCTCAAAAGTGGATTGATCGCTAGAACGACGGCACCATGCATCTTATTTTTATATCTACCACGTAGACCATTATCGTATATGGATTTAAGTGTAATTCGACATCTAAGGAATTGAGACCGCCGGTGATTCGCGACGATCCTTCGCGCGAGTCATGACTAGATACGTCCTGAGAAGTTCGCGGTGTCCTTTTTCGTGGACCAGAATTTTGAAACGATCCGTGTCGGTCGATGGACCTTCACAAACTCTACTTGCGTTTGAATTTGAATTTTAAGTACTCTGTCGGCCATATATTTGGATCCAACAGATTTATATAAATTTTTCACACTCAACATTAAAACAAAGTAATCTACAATCTACTGCTACGACAAATACAACTGAAACAATCATTGATGAAATGATTTCATCTCACGAAAATGTATGACAGGGTCAAAACATTAAGCTGATACGACTATAGAAAATATGAAACAGAATGTGCCACCATCGCTACTTCTTTCTAAAGGACTATCAAAAAAATCTGACGATTCCTATCAGCAGAAAGGCGTCGTCTCTTTAAAAAGCTTTCTAAACAAATGCACTTAGTTTAAAACTCGCGTCAAACCTATTTTACAAACACGCATAGAGTTAGAGTTAAAGAAATCTAACGAAAAATTGCAAAAGCAACAAAAGGATAGTACAAATAGAATTTACCCTATACATGGCCGAAGACTATACCTTTCTCGAAATGTAATCGTGGAATCGAATTGAATTAGCGATCGACGCAAAGAAAACGCATCGCGACGACCACCGACGGCGGCCATAAACGCTCGCTTCGATTATTCTCATTTACTCTGCGTCCCTTTCACGCTCTCCCCATTTCGCGCCCTCGCTCCCTTTGTCCTCCATTATTTTGTTTCTCATTAGCACGAAAACTTTCCGACTTTGCGAAACGTCACTGATCGTCACGAAAGGAAACACATCGAGATCTACGACGGCTAAGCGCGTGCGTGTGAAACCAATCGGCTCTCGTAATCGGACAGAAGAAATCGCTATTTGCTACCCGGTTAAGTGAAACGCAACGACTGCGTGTACATGCTATGCCAATCGAATCGCGAGTGCAAATAACCAAAACTATGCACACGCATCTCTTATGACGTGATTACGCTATCTACGACCGCCATTTTCACCGCAGAACGAGCGTTGATCGTTCGTTCTGCGGCGAAATGGCGAATAGACACTATTCCTGTACCTCGCCTTGCTTCCAAAACGTTCTATTTTCCCTGCATCTCGAACTATTTATCTAGCGGCACTGTTCGAAGCTTTCGGGGATAAGTTGCACCCTTTTGGACAAGCGTTCACCGACATTTCATGGACAAAGTCTGGCCAAACTGTTTGGAAACACTATGCACAGCAATGGTGTAGTCAGATAATGATTAATTTTCATTGAGAAGTTTCATTTTTCGGAGACAATGAACACGTTAACTCGAAGCAGGTTATTCTAGTTGTAAATCGTAACTTTGGACAAAGAGACAAGTGGGTTTAAAGGACAAACAATTCATCCCTAAAGTGGTTAACGTGTCTACCAAGGAGCGAAACGTCGGAACGCTTGTCCAAAGCCAGACAACGTAGGAATCCAAAGCTTCGAACAGTGTCGACTGTATGATCCCGGGTCGTGAAAGTCTCGAATATCTAATTTATCGGACCTTTTCCTTCTCTCGCGTGACTCTCCTCAAACCTAACGCCTACACCAGTCCCATTCGAATCGTCGTAAGGACGACACGCTCACACACGAACAACGTGAACTCGGGATGTGATTCCTCGTTTTTTTTTTTAAGCCTATATAACGTTTTGTCTTGCTGATTAATTATACCTCGCGTGCGAAAATATCAAGAAATATCCTCGCAAAAGTTAAGCTGGACGGCTTTGATAAAAATTAGGATCTCTTTCGAAGGACGTGAACGTCGGGGAATAGGAAGTGTTGCAGGGCTGGTGGTGGATCATGATTGTGATGAACGGTGGCGTGTGTCTCAAGACGGGGGCGATCCAGCGTACGCGGCCTCGCGGGAAAAAGCGTCGATCGCCCCTAGGCGGAAGTGCTTCTTGTGCAGACCTGTACGTGTTTTTTATTTTACGCCTATAAATTACGTGTACGGGTGATCCGCGTCCGATTGCTCGCGTACCGGGTGTAGCTCTCGCGGGGTGTTTCGCCTCTATACATATCCGTAAACTGAATTCACTAAGTGCTTAGCCAAAAAGTGTGTCTGTATCACGAGCGGTAATTACGACATCGGCGCGGAATACAATGGAAACAATTTCTCTGTCTAAACGGTACGCGTTTCTTTCCCCTGTCTTTCGCTCATTCGCTCGCCACCCTAAGTACGGAATTATCCATACATATTATGTATATTTTATACGTCGCAGAGATTATCGTATTTACAACGGGACGTTACTAGCGTTAGAGGTGTCGGTTGGCCTAACCCGCGCAGCTCGAGGCGGGAAATACGAACGCGTCGTTCGCCTTGCAAGGGACTCTGCTCGCGAATTGCTCGTCGCGAGCCGTGCTCTCCGCGACTCTGTCGTTGGGGGGCGTCTCTGTAAATCGGCCATCGAACGTCTCGCAAGCGTAGAAATAGATCCGAGTCTCCGTAATTGACTAGCGTTTGAGAGACACGTGCGTAGGTTTCTCTCTCCGTTCGAAATTTTCACTCGTCCGAGCTCGATCCCGAGAGCCAAACGCTCGAAGGCTCTGGGACCGGCTTGGGCCACCCTCGAAGCTTCGTTCTACTGTTCGCTTGCGCGTCGATTCGCGCGCGCGTCACGGAAGCACTGTCTGAATTGTTAAGAGTCGCGAAAGCGAATTATTGCTAAACGCTGAATATCGTGAATACCTGCTGCTCGGCGACTACGCTCAGCGGCCCTCTATCTGATTGTAATAAACGGTTACGAAAGCGTCGTTGCTCAGTTGCTCCTATCTGCATACATATCGTCCGATTCCCTCTCGTTATCGCGCGATAAGTTTCTACACCTGTTCGTGGAATCGTCAGTGGGGTCTGTTGCAGCCGAGTCGTACACGTGGTTTCTTGCGGTCAGATTGTTCTGTGACTGTCACCGTTGCGACGCATCCATGGTTTGGGAGAAATCCGTCGGTGTTGTGCAAAAATGTCAGACAACAGCTGAGGCGTGCTCGTGTGAGTACGATTCTGCTAGACGTACGCGAAGCAATCTCAGTAACGTTGCTGGAACTCGTGATGCCACCGATTGAAGTCGATGTGGAAGATCACGATCGACCCGTTGGCCAGACCGGCCAGTAGAAACCTGAAACGTGGGCGTTATAGTCGCGGACGGGGTAACGAATCGTTTCTCAAATAGGTGTCTGAGATGTTTCAGTCCATCTGTTAACTCCTTGTGTCTGGTGTTCACTGGAGAGTTCAACGCTTGAGCAGAAACTCTTTAGTGGACACCAGCTACTACAGAACATCTGTAAATATTTCATTGCGTACAAAATGGAGTAGCAAACGTCCACTTTCTTGTAACGACCTCTGGGACCAAACTCCGTTTTCTCTCAGGGTAAAATATCTCAGACAGCCTACCTTATCAACTAAAGGCAACGCGTGTCGGTACGGAGGGCACCTTTACGCGCCCAATATATGCGAACTTGCATAGAGTGCGTCACTTCAATCACTTTACACTTTGTATCTGAATCTTTTCGAGATCGTGGCCGTGAACTATATCGTTGAAAATGATCGATTGTACTTACTTTTGGTCGTGGGAGAGCGCCAGAGAACGCACACTGCTTTCACAAGCTGGGAATGCATAGAGGAGAGCGAGGTTGAAAGTCCTCCATACTTCCACGATCCGTTTGTCTCCACCTGTCATTAAATATTCGCCGTCTCTACTGAGAAGCAGACACTGAAACAAATGAAAATCCATGTTTAGAGCATAAGTTCAACAATGAACCGAAATGCGCGTAGCATACCTGAAGATTATCGTTGTGAGATTCGTGACGAAGACGTTTCCCGTTTATAGTAAACGCTGCTATGTGTCCACGTTCGTAATTCACCACGATGACGCCTTCTCGCGACATGGCGATGTTTTCGGGCGAAGAGAATCCATTCGGGGCCTCCAACGACCTCAAAAGATCGCCAAAAGTCGCGTGCACTAAAACGGGTCCATCTGTACAGAAGAGCAACTTGTTAAACGTGGCTATTATTGCGTAGGATGTTCCTTAAGTTGATAAAATCTTGAAGAAGATGCATAATTACGTACAGTAAGAACCGGAAACAACCAAGCCCAATTCGGCGGATATAACGACAGCCGTCACTGGCTGCTCGTGTCCGGTTAAAGTCGCTCTGGGTGCTGGAGCCTCGCCTTCGCCGACGATTGTCTGCGTTCTGGCGTTCCAATGCCACAACAAAACGGTGCAATCTGCGCTTCCGGATGCTATGTAGCAATCGGAAGTGATGTTGCATTCACTGCGCGACAAGCACGTGACGACTCCATAGTGGCCAAACACTATTTGCACGATCTTGGCTGTAAGAGAAGAAACACATCGATTTACATCTTACATTATCGTACAATTTCTGTTTCAGGCCCTTTTGCTCGACAGCATTACCAGTTTCGGTGGAGAACACGCGGAAACTGTTGTCCCAGAAGCCGCAAGCGACCAGGAATCGACTGTCCACCGTGGTGACGAAGCAATTACTTCGGATCTTCAGTTTCTGGCTGAAGTTGTCGCCCAAGTGTCGGCGCAAAGCTGGATTAGAGCTATTGGCTGCTTGCGCTGCAACGAACGAATCCGTTGTGATCGAAATAAATATTACTTAAAATACTTAAAATATTTCTTCAGTAATTATTGAATTAAACCGAGCGTTAGAAGGTTAAATCCTCGTTCCACTCACAGAGAACAGGATCCATTGACAGCGGTTGGTTCGCTGCTTGGGCTTGCGGAGTGTCCGCGTAGCTTGGCGACTGCACGGATGCTGTAATTTAGCTGGGCGTTAGTGGGATAATTAATTCGAACAGCAACGCGTTCTACGCGTCTGGCCAGCTTACCGGCGTAGTTGGTGTTCCATCTGTTGACGGCGAACTGCTGGCCAGTAGTGACCGTGACAACGGACGGCAACGGGAGCTGGGGATACGTATTGGCCGAGATGTGGCAGATAGGTGAATTCGATGGGAACTTAATGGTCATGCACACATCGTCCGGGATGCTCGAGAACATCATCGGTGACTGCAACACGGGTGGCAACGTCTTGTCAAACTTCGCGGTACTCTTCACGTTCGGAACGTTTGAACAGAAAGAAAAGCGTGCAATTGCACGTATGTATATGCATGACTTTGATCGATCTAACAAACGCACTGTGCGGATAGCTACGCCGGAGGTCCACGAGGTAGAGTTCAGAGCACGAAACAGGATTCTATAGGACGTTTAATTACTTGCGATCTTAAGTACTTGGCGAGACGTTACTCTAACATTAGCAAAGTACTCTTCGAAACTCATGCCATCGAATAATCGTTACAAGCTCTACCTTACGACGAAGGTTCCTCGATACTAAATACCTACAATACATTGCACGCTCTTCTTTTCCCAAAGTTCTACGAGATACTAAACACCGACGACGCTCGTGAAAAGCGTGGAGTACTGCGAAGTGAATATCGTTTACCAAATGCATCGCCGAGCTACGTGGCGGATGGGGTTCCATCAGCAGCTGCGACGGCGTTTGACCAAAGTTTCGTATTTGGTTTTCTATGGCTTCCCTCATCAGTGAGTCTGCTATGGTATCCAGGTCTACGCTGCCCTCGTACGTTAAATAGTAGAAAACGTTTGTTGCGCGAACAGCTTCCGGACCTTGAAGAAACAGAGCAATTTCACTTCCTGACACGGGTATTCGGTGCTCTTATTATCGGTAAAATTATTCCAGTCCGAATTCGATGGTCCACGCGTTGCTTAATTATTTTGGGAACACGACTGGCCCGTTCGCTGAATACAAAGTAGATTCTGATATTACACGAACGATATTTCATCGTCGCTTTCTAGGGTCTGCTGTCGATTGCTCGTGGCCGGTATTTCCGGCTGTAAACGTGTTACGTATTAGGGGTGGCACGCATTGTCGCGCCCGGCACACGTGCCTAATTGGTTGAGACAAGACAGAGAGGAAGCTAACTAAAAACTAATTCCTTCCATACGCGCGGCGAGTGCAGCCACCCTCTCAGCTCCGGGACGGCAGCTTCTTCGGGGAAGCGCCGGATATAGAGGCGCCACCGACAATTACCATCGGTGGAAATCTAATTTGACTCGACTCAGCGTGTCCCAACACCCGGTCCAGCTCTCGTATCGCTCGCGCCATTGTCTGGACGTTATATCGTCTCAATTTATGCGCATACTTCCGAGATTGATTTCCCATTGTGCAATTTATTTTAATTCCCACATGCAACGCGTCTTATAAATATCTCGAAACTTTCGCTATTTGCTACCGCATAAATACATAATACTTTCGATTACTGACTCACCTTTCTGCTTGTAACCGAATATCAAGTCGATCCACTGATGTAATTGACAGGACACGAATTCCGACTCGAGGGCCTGTAGAATTTAGGAAACAAGACGAATTAATATTCGATATCAAGCCGTTTCCGTCGAACCATGACGTACCATTCGATTAATTCTGATGAATTCCTCGGGAGATGATGCCCATGGAGGTAATTCAACGTCCCCAACCGAACTACCGTCTTCCTGCCTACCCAAGCGATACCGATTGCTGTTTACCAGCATTTCCGGTAAGAAAAAGAACTCGGGAATGAGCTCCTGTTAACAAACCGAGTAATTTATTGCCACGGTGTTCCCGAACGCATCGGGGCGAGGTACATCACGAAGAATTATTCTCGGACAATAACAATAGACGCGAGCATCCGTTGTTCGTGGAACTGTAACTAATAAGTGCAGGCATTGGAAACGAAACGAACCTTCACGTCGGAAGTGTCCCGTTGGCAATTCTTCCAGGATAGCGCGATCGAGGAGAACAACCGATTCGGATGATCGAACTTGCCGCCTTGGAGGGCCAGGAACATGGTCGTCATCGGCTCCTGAAACGTTAAAACAATTATCGCATTCCATTCTTGTCTTCTTCTATCCGAATAACTTCCAGAAAAATTTCCTTCTGTGTCCTCCGTGTCGGCTATTTTTTGATCTACGTGTATACTCGATCAGCGTCGTCGCTAAGAATTTTTGTTTGGTCGTTTAACGATTGGTGGCATCGAATTAATTCTATTTTCTTGCTTTGACTTTTAAACTCGACCCTCTAGACGTCATCGATGGCCGTCAAACCTGTTTTCACGGGTTTATTAAGCAAATGAGTGCGCCATATAGGAGTCTATTTCGTTACGCAAATTAAATCCGAGGCAAAAGTTGCCGGGCAAGCCTTCCTGACAAATCCATCAGCTATCTTGGACCACTTTTATGGGGGTTTTCTCAATTTACGAGGTTAAGGAACAACTTTTCGAATATTCTTAGAATTTCTACATATTCCTCATTAAAACACGCGTCGTTTGCATTTTGAAACACTAAAATCCTCCAATCCGTTCAGGAGTCATGATGTTTTAAAGATACGCAAACATTTATGGTCAGGCATTATGGTTTCGGTAAGGAATTTTTTTCTCGAAAATGCGAAGGAATTCAAGGTTACATGTATTGACAAAAAATGATCGCAATTGATCCCCCCAGCTAAAAATAATTTTTTTAGAACGATTTAAAAATTCTTTTTTCCGCTGTAAAGTTTTTAAGAAATAAGTTTGATGCTGCGTGGAAATGATGTTTATACACCATTATTGAATATACTATAAATAGATACAATATTATAAAGGCTATATGTGTCAAGTCTGAGCCACTATGCAAAAGATGCAATACTGACTTCTCGAAAAAGATACTACTTGCGCCCAAAAGCTTCGAAACAAAGGATCGCCGTGCAACTGCGTGCACCCTCGTGAAACCCAAAGGTAAGCATTTCCTCATGAATAACGGACAATCTTTGACCCATCGTACAAAGACCCTTCGGACGCTACTCTGTTATATGGTTTCGCGCTTAAAGTCCTCCGTCAGCCGTTCGTTCATCTGACAGCCTGATGAATGTTAACAGAAGACCTCCCGCGATCGACGTCCATTTCGCTTGTAGGCGTACGCGAACGACGTAACGTGATTTACGGACGCGAACAAGATTTTCGACAACTTGTACACAGTAAGGATCGCCTACAATGAACCGACGAAATAGGTTCGACAGCGCGTAACTTCGTTGTTCTTTTTCTAGAACGGGGACTTGAGCTAACGCCGCGGCCAGGACCGAAAATAGACCGAAAGAGACAACGAGCCAAGCAGTTATAAAACAATAAATTGTTTATGACGCAGTATATCCTCGCGGGAACAGCGGGGTGTTGTCCGAAGCAAAGCGGTAATAAAATGCTTATTGACGATTTGCATGTAAATGCGACGGATAATGCTAGCCCATTCGGGCCAAGCAGGATCGTGTAACGTCCGTGTATTTTCTTTTTTCACCGCCTCCCCCCCTCGGATCGTTTCGACCGGGCAATAACGCGAAAATTAATACAGTCGTTAACGTAATAGAAACGCGAAAGCTTGAAAGCGCGGCGCTCGTTCGCGCGGGGAACCCCAAAGAAAATGCAGGTGAAAACAAATGCACATATTTAACGGGAAGGCGGGCTTCGTTGACTCGGGGGCGTTCCGACGCCCCCAAATTAGTGTGCAGACACTACCGAATGCGTCGTTCGAATTTATGGTTCGAAGTGGACAGGTTTCTTAAATAGACGGTCCAAGAACCGAAGATTGCCGGGGTGTGTTCCCCGAGCGTTTCGAGAATGTCTCGAACGATCCTTTAAATTAAGTCTTGTTTACAAAATATCAAATCAATGGCTACCGCGCGCTCGGTGCACTTTCCTAGAAAATAATTAATAGATAATTTATACAATATTTAACTCGTGGCATCCTGCGTGCACGGTTCGCTCAAAATTAAGCTGTATCCTCGCCAACTGGTTGCACATTTATATATTCTAGATAGCGCTTATAAAAAATTCAAGAACAAGAATTACTCGACTACTTAATACGTTTTATATTTATCAGGTGCTCACCACTCGTATCATCCAGTTCAAGACAAAAGCAGCCGTGGAATAGTGTGTGCCATAGTGGAAGGGCGGTATGCTGTCGTGCTCCCAGCCTTGAAAGCGTTCCTCGAAGTAAGCCCTTCTGCTCGGATTCAACGCTCCGATCGGCTATTGGGAGACACGAACACGTTAAAATAACATACTCGAGTCGTCGAGTGAAACATAAAAATTAATTGGCTTTTCTCTACCTTGGACAAGTCACGATAGTTGCTGGGCAAACTGAGATCCAGCTCCTTCGTCTCGTAGTTAGTCAACACCCATGGGAACACGGGGTACTGGTTCAAGTCGTTGTACGTTCGACCTGAAACATAACGCATTTATCATAGAAATTTATCGATTACTTTTAATATTTCTCAATAATGCAAAGTGTCGATATGGATCGGTCAATGTCCAACGGAGGGTGCGAAGAATTCTGCCTAATAAGAGTAGCTAAATGGTGGGTCTCGCGTGTCGACTCTTTCGGTCGCGTGGACCAGCCCTCTCCCGAGACGAGATTCCTCGTCTAAAAGTCCAAAAATAAACGAGCCATCAGCGTCTTCCTTTTAATGCGTATAATCACGGGCCTAATTTTTTGTGAGCCCCAAACCGGCGGTCACTTTTCTTCCCGCGCCACCCTCTGCCGCCACGGTCGGTGACGGACGATGAAAAGCGGGTGATACCCGGCCGCCTTCTAATTCTATTTTTACGAAACGCGCGCCACGGTTTGGCTCCCGGTGCAGGGAGAGACGATCTCCGTTTAGTAAGCGCATAACTCAGACCGTGACGGCTAATCGTTCCTGAAATTGTCACTTCTGGAGGTCTCACTCTTACGCCCCCGCCCCGTACGCCCCCGGAATCCCGTTTCGAGATGCATTAGTGACGGCAGCGCGGCTGCAAGCCTGACTTCGTCTAATCTCCCCGGTCGCTAATTAAAACCCGTCAGCAAGTTTGTCAGAAGACGCTCCTCTCGTCGCATCGTTTACGTACGCGTTTAATTCGTACTATTCTACTCCGTTTCCTGGTTCGTCGAGCAAAGGGCCTTCTTTATTAGTGAACCGAACGTCGTAGCTGATGATATTATATTTAAAAAAACTGATAAAATTGTCAGATCTTCGATCTGAGAATATTCAGAGAAGGACAACCGACTGTTTGGTCCTCGCGTATACAGGATCGCGATTACCAAGCAAGGAGAATGATCGGGAAGCGGCGAAACAGCGGGTTGGGCCGTCTCCAAGAAATTCACCGGATACTCGATTCGGCGGCGGTGTAGAATAAAAAAGAAGAAAGGGGAATAAGGACTCGCGGCGAGGCGGTCGGCGCACAAGTCCCGTCGTTGCTACAATGCGTCGTAAATCGTGACGCTGCACGACCGACGGTCGGACGTAAATAATAGTAAGGCCGCGTTATGCATCAAAGTGATTATTAATGGTAGCGTCGCCGTGAGTGAGCGCCCTCGGGACGCTTCACGACAGCGGAATGCCCGCGACACACGCGTTCCCTTTCGTCTCCTTCCCTTCTTGCCCGCGGCACATCCTTGCTTTTTACTCGCCTCGTCTCCTCCCTCGCGATCCTCCGGGAACAACGTTATAATAAGTGCTGGCCGCGACGAGAGGCTCGTTTTTAACTCGCCACTTGTCGAGATTTAGAGGGACGGTCGCCAACGCCGGAGAAAAATCGGCAGGAAGCCCGACGAAATGGCGTACAGCACCGGTACGTCGCCGCGGCGACTCGGTTCGTTGGTTATTGAGATAGAACGACGGGGAAATTGTCTGGAGGGCCGTGCAGTGGCCGGCGCGATGGGTAATTTAACTCTTTCGCTGGTTAACAAGACGACAAAGTACGGCGAGCGACGAAACTGACTATAAAATTACGCCTCCAGTGATATTTTATTCGATATTTTATTTGATATTAATTTGTAGTTAATGAAGAAATCGAGAAGCGAGTATTGTTCGAGATCTGTCAGATTGAGTTATACGTTTCCAGTCAGCCTTTGTAAGGCTTGCGATAAAGCAGAAATTACTCGACGTCCGCGTTCCACATACTTCTGGTACCGCATTCCGCTTAACCCGGAACCGATCGTTCTCCTATAATAAATATCCAAAACATTTCTGGTAATCCACGTCGATACAATTAAACCAAGAAGTCTAAACGTACCGACATTGCAAAATTTAAAAGCGTAATGATAAGTAGCTATTGTCCACGGACATAACGAGAATGCGAGTAATGATACGAAGAGACGTCGTAACCAAGGATATATGCATGATGTATGGACCAGTTTCGATCGAGAAACTGTTCCAAAGATTCCATTGCAGCCGCTGTCAGTGCATCGAATGAAACGCGCTTTGAATTTTATTTCCATTTGTCATTCGTTGTTTATTGCCGAAACAAAAGTTTACTCCGCGGTTTGGTTCTGTTATAATTAAATTCCGATCGGCGCGAGGCCTTTTCACCGACCGAGAGCAAAGATCGAAGCCGATGGGGCCGGTGGTGGCGTGCATCAGCGGTAGGTGCACCGTGCGGCGCACACCCACGCGAACCGGCTCGCGTCACGACACGCAGCCTATCATATTTACATCGGGCTGGCTGTCATTAATTTTTAATAAACCGATGCGACCGAACAAATAAACGAGCGGACTGGATCGCATGCGGGAGCCTGGCAGCGGGACCGGTTCGTTCTCGCAACGCGTTCCCCCGCCGGGCCTTGCCCAATTGCACCGTACGGCCCACGCCGCCGTCTCGTTCCCCCCCACCCCACCCACTGGTCCACATCCCCACCAGTCCCGCGGAACGACTATTTATTCGCGCAATTAATATATAACGCTCGTAAATACACGGCCACCCTCCGGCGTCTCGCGGCGTTTCTCGTCGATATACAAATAATTACGCGTCCGCGGTGATCCTCGTCATTAAGGGGGCCCGATCGCGCGTGGGCCAGCATAAATTCTCCACTTACATAATTCTCGATAGGCTTGTTTACGAGCGGCCTTTAAACGATCCGCTATTAGTGTCCGCGAGCGATCATCTTGGGGTGTCGCGATCGAGATGATTTTAAAAAACTAGCGAAACATCGTAAACACGAATCCCGATATAATTCTATTTCTGTGCTTCTGATTTACGACCGTCGCTGCTGTCGTTACCAACTAAGGCAGCTGTCCGTGGGATTAATCTGATCTTAACACGTTTTCTCGCATTCGAGTTTGATTGAAATTATAAAGAAAAATCGCGATAGGATCGCAGGAGGTAGGCCAGGAAGCAGTCAATTTCAGTAGAGAGCAAGCTGCTAGGGAAACTCGTTTCGTCGTTGCAAACTGGTCGCGGAATTTTTCCCCATAGATGATCCGGTGAGGTGTTCGTAACTCACGTTGGGCTCGCAGGTGTGTCAGAAATTTACATCGAGTATTTTAATCCGAGTCGTAGTGGGATACTTTCTAGACGATTGGTGATTCGTTGTGCTCTTCTGCTAATGCGGAGCCCGGCGAGTTTATACTTTATGATTACACGTATAATCCAAACGGGGGGCCGTAACACTCGTCTCCTTCGATTTTAATAAATCGATTTCTTGTCTCGGTAGCTATCGAGAACACGGATTCGTTTACGATAGAAAAATGTCCACGTTCGCGCCCTCGGGGGCTTGCTGTTTTCCGGAATGGTTGATCCGGTATAAAAAAAGAAAAAAAATAGGTAAGGGCCAGGAGTCTCGAGTTTCGGTGATTTAGCTCCGCGACGCGAAACACAAAAGGGCGGCTGATATTAAACCGAAGGAGAAACAAAGGCGCGCTTCCATTTGGTTGGCTGCGTGGGGAAGCTGAGAGCGCCGGTCCCTCGAGGAGAGGATTACCAGGGCCCACGGGCTGGGGATTACTCGTATGGGGTGACTAACGGAACACGGAACCTGATTGAGAACATCCCTAATACAACGCGACAGATTCCATCCGCCCGTGCGCAACCCTGGACGCTCCCTCCTTTAACGTATCATTTTACCTTCGTCCTCTCTTTTTATCCTGCTCGGAACCGCCGTGAAATCGAGCGACGATCGACCGTCCGCAGACGTCGCATTTTCTTTCCGCAACCGGTAACCCGATACGATTTTTTAGACCGACAACCATCGATGGTGCGGCCGAAAATGTAGCAAAGGGTGTGCTCTGCTCTTGATCTTTGAAACTATTCGAGCAAAACTTCGCTCTAATGTGAAATGAGTTTAGCTTACCTGCAATCGTGTTCAAGAACATCAGATATTCGAAATTCGATATTTCTCTGCGCTGCCACTTCTGCGTCATGTTGGAGCTTCTCATCAGCTGTCGGGGCGACATCATCGACGCCCTCCTGGAAGAATAGTGCAATTTTTACGGTTTTAAATATCAATTTGTATCGCGCGTAACACGATCGAAAAAGGAAGAATCGTCGACGGTACGGTTACGCGTTAAACAGTCAATGCACTGTGCAAAGGGATCGAAGACCGGTGTAATAACTTATTCATGACTTCCAGGCCGAATACGTGACGCGTACGTATGACTGATATATCAATACCTGTCCAAACAATTCGCGCTATCTGCTCATCAACGAAGCAACACACAGATTGATCGATGCGTACGCGACAGAAGTTTGTGGTAGGAAAGTCGTCGAAAAGGATATTAGCATATACGTCACCATGTTTGTCGGTAGAGATCGTTAATATTCTCTGCTAACTCGAATTAAATTATTTACCGCGTGCGATCGAGTACGTCTCTGAGTCAGCATTTCGTAATCGATTAGAGAGACAACCAACTCCAAAAAGTTATGAAACATTTATTCTGCTTTTCTGGACACTGATATCGAGTTCTCGATCGTCTCTAAATGTGACAGGAAGAATCTGACACTGTTATGGTTTCCCATCGACGCGTTCTCCGGAGAAAAGCTGATATTATCAATGTTTCGAGCGAACTGGCGTTGCGTTTTTCGAATTTAATTGCTGAAGTTAATTGGCTGGCGGAACGAATGTCGATAAAGATCCAGATTGGCTCTCGTGAGCAATTACGATAACACTCAACAGTGGCACATCCAGTGGAAGGGGTGAACGGAAATAAATCTCTAAACAACTATATTTACGTCTAAATGAATAATTAATTTTGACTTGCACCCTCGTTTTTCAGTTTCTGGGCGAGCCACTGACGTTCAATATTTGTGGTTCGATTAAAGTTTTATTAGAAAATAGATGAATTACAGCGGGTAACGTTTCGACAAATATATTTTTGCTCTCGATTTGCGAAATCTGCTACGTCGGCGATTTGGTGCTTTGCATTCGCGTCGTAAAATTCAGCGAGGGGTTTTACGCACGCCAACTACGCTGATTTAGAATTTATACGGGAGACTTTAACGGGCGTACGCAGTGAACGACATTAAAAGTGAGTAGCACGCGACGACGACCGGATGTATAAATTCCAGGGTTGCGCGCATCTCGCGCAAATCTCGCGGAACTATGAAAATCTTTTACGCGATTTAGAGGTAAAGGAAAATGGGACATTCTTCATTTTATGTCGCGCGAAGATGGCGGAGATACAGCGAACTTGGCACGAACGAAAACAGAGTGATTCGTCAGAAAATACGTAGAAAATACACTATTTAATAGGCAGACTTTCAATGGAGGATCAGTAACGCCATTTTCTTTAAATTCGATCGTGAACTCGACCATCATCGAAGGTACGAAGGGACCATCGTCCGGTTTTCCAATACGATCGACGTCGTGGCACATTTATTTTTCTCGCGACGCGAGCGTGGTACGGAGCGTCACGACGCGGATGCACGTTTTATATACGGATTATTTTTGCTAGCCAGGAATCTCCCTCGGATCAGACGTCGGAGTCGGCCTCCGTATATTTATGGCCGGCGTATCCTTCTCGCCGACTCCCTTCTACATGGTGCCACAGAAAAATACTAACGCTTATATGGAAGTAACTTTTTCGAAGAAACCAAAATTACAAAATATATCATAACGATAAATATATCTTATCTCGAAGAAGTCTCTACTGTTGCCAATTTCATTCTTGAAACCATCTAGAAATAGTCTTCGAATATTACGATAAGAAATTAAGAGATTAATGAGAAGCGTACAAGCAGAGTATCGTGTCACCGATTCTGATTTCTCTGAAAAAGTTACTTCCATGTGAGCGTTAACATTTTTTTGGAGCACCCTGTATATAGGAGTGCTTTAATGGATGGATCGAAGCGCGGATCGCGAACCTCTGTGTTCTCGCCGCCTGTCCTCGTCGAGAGCTGCAAGAGAGTATTGGTATCGAAAAAGGATACGACCCAAAGACGCGGATCTTTCCGATGATTTCAACGTCTTGTTGTTTCAATTTGTTACTCGAATTAACGACGATGCATTTGATCGATAATTGGGGAAACCTTTTAGCAAATATAAATGTTTTTAAGAAACTATGCACGAAAATATTGCTAAGGTTACAATCTCAAACAATAAGAAAACATTTTATACTATTCTTCTTATAAAAATAGCTAATTAGAGACTATGAATATTTTACTATCCGTTCGTATTCATCGTCCTCTAAATTTGAAATCCGGTCACATAAAAAAAGTACTGGTACCGTACGTGTCCACGTTGGTTATCATAAATTTCCGTCGACAAATCTCATGTATTTATATTATTCAAGAAAAAAGCAACCAGGAGGAACGAGTATCGGTCAATAAAGACGAGTCGAGCGACACGGTGCATTCCTGTCGTGTTAACGCTACCCAACGTTACCCTCCGTCTACGAGATTTTTCAATATCTATCCTCGCGTCCTTTATCATCCGATCTCTCCGAACATTTCGCCCGGACAAGAAAGCCCTGGATCCGATCCTGATCGCGAACGGAATCCTGCGGAAGGGGACAAAGAAAGAGCGGAATGCGAGGAGCGTGTACCAGGGTGAGCCCGAGGCCGAGATCCCTAGATCCAGATGTTTGTAAAAGGGGTTCGGTCCTTACCTAGTCTGCGGAATCCCGTATTTGATGCCCACGCCGACTCGCGGTAGCGCCTTGATCACCTTTTTCACCGTCGCCTGGTCCGGGAACGCGAACAGGATCGAGGCTGTGGGCAAAAAGGCGTTAAAGTGCGGATTATAAGCGAACCCAATTTCGACGACGGATCGTGTGTCAATCATTGGGGAAGGATGGCGGGCAAGGACGAATTTCTTACCCGCATCGCCGACTCCGAGTGGCTAGGCAATGATTCGGCCAGAATTCTTCCAACGCGTCGCGAACACCAGGGACGGGCAAAATGCATTTAAGAAACTATCGCTAATAAGGTTAACGAAGCCATTTTCGAGCACTCGAACCGTGAAAATTACCTCGCGAGGAAATTGCCGCGGCATAATAAGCTTCTTTGAGAGGATTAAATTCGTCGCTTAGAACAAATTCAACCGGCTTTGCACCCACACAAACGCCACGCGTTACGCCGTCCATCTCTCGTGCCTCTACTTAATCAAAGAACATGATTCATTGAAAGAGGCTTCGGCGTTGGACGCGCACGGTAAACGCATTTAGGGCGCGAAGTTAAATGCGGAAATATGAAAAGAGGATACGCGATGGACTTAATTTCACGGCTTTAATAGCATCGGCCGTGGCTCCCTCGAGAGTTCAAAGGGTAGCGTGCGAAGCGACAGTTACCATAAATACTTGCGCGTAATTTATGTAACTCCGAACACAGGGCTGGGGATACACGAGTCGGTCTTAATCAAGGAAGAAGGGAAGCAGAAGGCGGGATCACAGGGAGCTGCGAGAGTCAAAGAATCTCCTAATCTTGTGTTTTCACTGTCCATTAGGTGGCCTACTATGCCACTCTGATTATTTGCGTACGAGCAGGGAGCATCTTGGAAAATGATTTTCTCGAAAGGTGGACAGGATAAATGAATAAGTCTGGTCGTAATAATAAGACCACTAAAAACTGTATATTAGATCTACATTAGGAACGTACCTCTCTGACAGTGAAATATAGAATGGATTAAGCGTTCTTACAGGACTGCCTCGGCGATGCACTTAAAATCGAATAATGCGAGGATGGGAGAAACTTGGCTAAATCATTTCAGATCGAGCCCACTTTTATTTCAACATTTCGGGTAAAAAGTACCCCGGGAACACGCAATTAAGAATCTTGCACGCCGTTACGGGACATCTTGCAGTTCGCGTATCCTCCCCGCGTCTTTATAGCGTAGAAATAAATTAACGAAGTTAATGATTGGTCGCGACCGTCGATTAAAAGTTAAGATCATACTATATTCACGGGACGTCGTAACGATCATCGTCGCGGGCACGGACGAGAAAAGAGGAGGATTTTTCTCCCGGGCGAAATTCAAGGGTGCAGCCGTCTCGTAAAGATCCGTGGAAGTTGCTGCGTCGTTCGGGGCATAAAGTAGCCTGTTCGTATATTTTTATTGTTTCAGGATTTATCACGGCGCGACAGGAGCCGTGGCATTTTAGCCGTGCCCGTTAACGAACGCGCGCGCGTTTCCAGTAATTTTTTAATGAACGACGAAGGCTCCTCGCAGGGATGACACATTCCGCCTGGGACGTTTCACGACGCATCGAATGTCGAGATCAGATTAGAATCGAGGGACGGCCACGGGGATATTTATCTGCGCCCGTGGAGAAATAATCAGCGGGGATTGCGGCCCCAACGGCCAGGTATAAGTAATTCTCCCACGTTTGTTTAAGCGTACGCAACGACCGACGATCCTCTTCGGAGGAACAACTATATTTCAAGCGAAACCGCCGCCGCGGCGCGGCGTCCCGATGCCCCACCGGACCCGAGGAATGTTTTAACACCTCACAATGAAATCGAGATAACGAAGCTGCCTCTTATCCTTCGTTTTCACGTTCGATGTTCCTCACCGTGCACCGAGCGACCAGCTTCTCGTAACAGCTCCAATAAGAAATCGGAAAAGAGTTTAACGAGTGGACGATAGCGTGTCGTTAGAGTCGATTTCACTGCCTAGATAACCGAGATCTTTTTATCTGTTCGTTACTTACTATTCGTTGGCTCGGTTCAGTTATGTTTATATTATTTCGGAGGTGCGTTAAAAATTCGACTCGTTAGTGGACAATGATGGCCGTAGAAGGGAGGACAGGTGGAATCGAACGATAGGTCGCGAAAAAAGGGATGCCGTAATGCGGGCCAGATATTTATTGCGTAAAAAGCAAACGGAGGCGCACACCTCGCGGCGCGCTCGGGATTCCGTTTCCAGTTTGCCAGATTAGATCACGTCGTGTGAAATAATGCAGAAAGGCACGGGCGACCGGGCAAGAAACGGAATGCGCGTCGATTCGAAAAGGGCCCGCCGCCTCTTTCGGCAGCCTCCTTTCGAAACGAACCGAGCGAATCGCACGACTTACTTCTGCTGGCCAGGAAGATCTCGATGGCCACGTTCTGGAGCAGATATCTGCGCGAGAAGATCGCTCTGACCTCCGAGAAGTACCATTTTCCGTGCAAATGGTCGCAATACTTCAGCACCTGAAACAGCAGAAAAGAACCACTCGAGTTAATAAATTAGTCGCTACAATTTCGATTGGCTTGTTAATTAGGAAGAACGAAATTGCTCTACGTAAAATATATTCTTCAGAAATACACGTTTTTACCTCATTCTTGTTGAATTTAAGTTATGTAAGTTATAACAGCGGAAGTCTAGTAAATTAGCGTTCAAAAGATTCGAGATAATTCTGGAAACATTGATACTCGGTAATTCCAGGAATTTTTCTCGAAGTCGTCTTAATCTTTGATCGCAAATTGTAATTAATAGTAACGTCTTCTCTAGTAATTACCATGAGTAATAATATCATGTTCGTATTAAATTTATGTGGCAACGTTTAGCGCGGTCACGGCCGAGGATATTCTACATGAGCGTCTAGCTCTGACGCGGCTCATTCTCCTTAATTGGGAAGCCCATTCTTTTGCCAGAACCTGAGTACCAAATCATATCTTTCTTTAATGTACGTTTTTATTATCTCCAAAGATGGGATTGTCGAATGAATTTTAATACCCCTTAAATCTAGTTTTGAATATTCCATAAACAGGACGCTGGTACATAATGGGCAAATAACTATTCGAGGCTGTAAAGTTGGATGATTCACTTTGCGGGCAGCGTCGATCAAAAATAGTTTTAGCATCGGGCGTTTGAAAAAGCCATCGATGGAACGTCGACGGGCATAAACGTCGGCCGTCCAAGAAAGGCTCGAGAATTGTAAACGACCGGAAGCAAGACGTAGCCTCCGTCCAGGGTACATCCAGGGAAGATCCAAGGAGCGGTACAAAGTCAGAGTGCGATCGCATGGCTGACTGTAAGTATGCAACCTGGATGCAGTGAAGTGTGATGTGATATAGTGAGACCAGTGCCGGTTGCAAGATGGCCGTCATGGTAGGAGGAGCCTCCTGCTGAGCCGGGAATCGATCCCAGGACTTCGCGGACTTGCGCTCTCGAACGAGTCGTGAACAACTCGTAGGCGAAAAGGGGGAGGCAGAAAAAGGACGAGACGCGCCGCTGCGGAGAAAGAGGCGAAGGACAAGACAAAAGATGGACAGAGCCAGGGGGAGCCCGATTTACCGCCCTGCGGCCGGCCCAGGCCTTTCAATTTTTCCCTCTTAATGAGCGGACGCCGCCGTCGCGGTGTCCTTACGCGCGGCGAATGAAATTATCCTCGTTATAATCCGGCGGAACGAGCCGTTCCGTGTTTAACGTCTCCACGACGAAAACGCCAATGAGATCTTATCTGTCTCAGCGGCGTCGAAATTCTTGTCTGCGCTTGGTAATAGGGGCTAGCGGATGCTGAGGATATCGATGTTCGCCAGCCTCGCCGATATTAATCCTCGCGACCCAAAACACGTTCGATGATCGTGGATTTCAATAAAGACGCCGAAGGAATAATTGATCGGTATCACTTCGATAGCTCCATAAGCAATGGACGAAAATTAATTCGAATTTATATAAAAGGATCCGTCAGATGGTAGCAAGAATTGCGAATAAAGTCCCTCGAGAAGACATTCCGCAGTCACTTCACGTTCAATATTTGTTAATACATCAGTTTCTTGCAGCGGCCTCCGGACCCAACAGAAGAAGTCCTTGCAAACGCGAAGTCCTTAACGTTTGACCACGCGGCCCGCCGAAACGTTCAAGTGGAAGTATTAAATAATTCATATCGAGTAATAACAGAGGAAAAAACTGGCTGCGCGGGGCGAACAGACTGCAAGGCAACGAACCACGTCGGACACAAATGAATAGGTTTTCGCGAATAATGCCGGAGACGAGTATCGGTGTGGGTTCCCTACGAGTCGCAAGAGATCAAGTAAATACGAGAGATGACATTAGGGTGGCACTCGCATGTCGAAATCTAATTACAGGAACATAAGCGGCTCGAAATCTCCGGGGACCATAAACGTCGCGTCAACTCGCAGGGATTAAGTACAGCGCGTGCTGTTTGTATCATTAAGTAGCCGCGGCGATCGTTAATTTCGTCCACGAGGATCCTCGTGAGAAATCGATGCACGTCCAGGTGAGAAACATTTTCAAAAAAATTACACTTCGGACTATCGATCGTTGCAAACGCGTGTAGGAAACCGTATACGAGTCGATTCGATGCGCAAGATTCGAACAGGGGGGTTGAACGGAGCCAACCCCTAAGAACGGAGCGCGCAGACTCATTGCAAACACTGCGTGAAACTGATAAGAACCGTGCCGTGATACGGCATTCGTTATTTGGATACCTGCGATCAGAATGTAGATACAGCACGTATTGAATATCGTACTATCTCTTAAGAGAAGACCATTAATTTTCTCTATATTCGATATATCATGCACCCGGAGCACTCGACCGTTCTCTGGGTGGTTGAACGTCAGAAATATTATATCTCTCGCTTTTCGTAGCCGTGGTTAGAATTTATACCGACTTAAACAGACTTTAATGCTCGCAGAGAAAAGGAATAGATGATTCAGAATGACCTCTGCCACTATACTCGTATTCGACCGAAAGTGAGTCGTCGAAGCATCGGGCACCCCTGTGCGTCTCACAGAACGAGCATCAGAGAGATGCACCACTCTCGCGCGACTAATATGTTTACACGTTCGATGAACAGTCCTGCAGCTAGACGCACACACGTTCGCGTAGATGGGACCGCGGTTAAAAAGAGATCCCGGTCTCGTGGAGTGTCAAGTGGTGCACGATTAGTGTTCCCCATGCAGCGTTCATCTCTCACCGACCGAGATCGTCCCGACTCAGCAGTGCGCCGGGGTTCCACGACGACAATGGGGCGTCGTGATGTAACAACATGTGTCGCGTTCACAAGGCCCCCTCGTTGGCTGCTGCCTCTATGTACACCATAGGGCACCGGTAGAATGGGGACCACTTAGCAGCCCGCCAGCGGTATACAACAAACAGATTAAGCACCGGACAATAATAGACCCCCCGTTCTCCAAGCTCTCCGCGAGAACACCCTCTCCAGTCCCTTCTTCCAAGTGCGAACCACTCGAAATCACGACCGCTCGAGGAAGGGGGGCCAACGTGGTTTATTCAATTCGGGATACGAACGGCCAAACTGGCCCGATCATTAATTATCCACGACGGGGTAAATCGTGTATCGGGAATTTTACGAGTAGCTCGTTTCGGAAACTTGTCCACGGGAGGATCGTGTTTTACGAAACTTTAGTATCCGCGGATATAATGGCCCCGCTAACCGGCGATTAGCTGTCATTGAGAGCAGTGAATCATTTACGAAGCAGCGACTATTGATCCACGGTGGAAGCCACGAAGTTCCTGCGTTGGAAATTGATGGCTGGGAATTTATGAATCGTAAATGCTACGAATGAACGTTATCTCGCGCGTAACATTAATCGCATTTAGGGGTTGGGTGTAACGCGAATGTTCGTTTCGGTTTCGTTGCTCCTCTTTTGCGGTAGTATCAAGCTGCTCGGACGCGAGAAGAATTCGATCGACGCGACGCGATAAATAATGAGCGCACTTTCCTGTCGCTACGAGGTAGCTGATCGAGCGTGATCACGGTTCTTTGTAGGCACACTCTATCGATGGAATTCTGTGGAGTAGTATTTAATTTTTTTCTACTGTGACTTTATCATTTGGTTACAGATTAATTCTAATGAATTTTCTTGTTGCTCAGCGACTCTCGTGCTATAATCAAGTTACGAAGAAGAGAGTGAAAGAGTAAGAGCAACCAAGCAAGTACTGTGCAGAGATCGTAAGTTACCGAATATCCACAGACTTTGTCGAGGGGCAAGGGGATTACATACTCCGCCTAATGCCCTCCAAAAATCTCCGCCATCAGATTCTTAACGATTACGCTATCTCGACGTTACTTCTTCGCGAGTCTACTGGCACGACTGGAGGTAGCACGGTTAATTTCATTCGAGGACAACTTACGATCTCTGCATAGTAGGAAACCGCGTGAACCAGCGACGTAAAACTTTTAGTTTTCTGTTTCGATAACTCATTAGTAACCAGATACTAACGATCGTGCGTAGCAGGTAACGCCAAAGCTGGCTCCTAGCCAGCAATTTCAAGAAACGACCACGCGACAGTCATGGAGCAGACTTGTATTTCAGTCGTTTCAACTGAAAAAAATCAATGCAGCTCGAAGAAACTTCTGCCAAACACGCTGGAAATATTGAAGCCGCTACGACTCTAATTAATAGTCTGAAAGGGGTGGCAGCCCGTTAGCATCTGTCGTCGAAATCGGTCCGCGTCGAGCGTTGTCTCGCGATATCTGGAAAGGCCATGGTATGAGTTAATCAAAGGAAGAAACATTGTCGTTTAGCGTGTACCGAGCGCCATTAACTCGGCTCGTTCCGTCCAATTACTTTCGTTCAGCGGCTAACGACGTGGCCCGCGTCCTCTCTCCGAGATCCACATTCCGCGTCTGAGTACGCGGAGCCCTTGTCCCTTAAAGGCTGCCACGTCCGCGGTACACGGTGCTCCGGACACCTTTTTATCCAGGCGAATTCGAGGTTTAATAAGGGCGGCGGGGTTGCTCGCATCACCGGGAGCCCTTTGTGCGCCGAACGCCGCGATGCGTTATCTCGTGTGAGATACGGTAATAAAGGTATGGGAACGAGCACGTGGCACGCATAACTCATTCCCAGCCCGGGATATCGTCTCTTGATGGCTCTCGAACGTTTTGCGCGCATCGGTCGACACGCTCACGGCAACGAAAGCTGCGGGCTGGTCGATAAACCGAGCAGGCGTGTTGTTTTTAGGGTCTTCCACGCTCGCGTAGCAGAGATGGGAAAAACCAAGCTGTAACTTTTAGCGGTGTTCAGCGTAACGACGTCCAGAGTATTCAGGACGATGTCTATAATCTTTAAACCCGAACACCACCTCCAAGTATCGAAGTCTCCTCTCTGGAGTCGCTTAATGAAAGATAGACTCGGACCAAAAGGAACTCAAGTAAATATGAATCCCGAGAGATCCTCTCTTCACGTGTCATTAACCAGGGAAACCGTGAAATACGCATTGCGTCGGTGCACTCTCCAGTTTTGCCGGCTGTTGCAGCTCAACCACCGAGCCCTGGATTATTCGGGATTACGCGAGAGTGTTCGTTCGAGCTTATTTACAAGGCCGACTCGGTCCAGGATCCTCGTCGGTTCGGCTGGCTCGCGTCGTCGTATCTTCGCCGAAAACGTTACACAATGAGGAGACGTCACGCAATAGGACGCCGCCACGAGGACCTCTTATACCTGAGTAAAAGAAGGTCCAGAGCCGTGTTTTGGCAGACTTGTATTCGGCCAGGACTGCTCTTTTCAGCGAACCGGATACCAACGAGACTTTCAGAGGACCGATCGGCCTATTAGATACACTTGACTGAAAATGAATTCGATAGAAACTCCTCTCATCGGTTGTTCGGGAGTTGTCTGCACGCTATGAACGTTCCGCTATAGTGTTTTTCAAAGCAAGAGGCGCGATCCTTGAGGGGGTAGTTTTACATCCAGAGAGGAGGCGAAAGAAATTATGTCGTAGCAACTGAAAACGTTCAAAATCTTGGACAACGTGTATATACAACGATATACGAGTTTATCTGCAATTTGTTTAAACTCAAGTTATCTTGCGACTCCAACCATGCATTAAACGCTCTTAATTTCCATTCCACGCGAACGACCAGTAGAATTATTACTGAAACTGTCGCTTTATTATAAATGCATGTATACTTGCGTAACCGGAAACCTTTATATTATTTTATTTCAAGAAGTATGTTACATTTTGTATTTTTTAATAGAATTAATAGCCAGTACATCGATTTCGCAATTATCAACTCCAGCCATGCATTAAACGATATTAATTTTTCGTTCTACACGAATGGTCTGCAGAATGATCGCTGAAAATTTCACGGTATGGAACATATAGGTGCGAACTCCTACATTATTTTATTTTAATAAATGTACCACGTTTTGGTGTGCCTTGACCAGCTCGATGTGGATTTACCAAGCGCGAAACTACCACTCTTTGGAGCGTCTGCGAGTGAAAGATGACGAAAGGCGTTAGCCCAGGACCCCGAGTATCGCGCGGGTGTACAAATAATTCAGATGATAAACGAATTAAGTCGGAATGGGATGATGAAAGGCACATTTAGGGCGCAAGGAGGCCCCCCCCCGGCTGCCGCATTAATGCGAGGGCTGATGTAGCAGAACGTTTGACCCCTCGTCCCTTACGCGAAAACACTGCTCCAGAAGAGGACCAGTACGGGGTGAAACGTAGGGAGGAAAATGCACGTGCTCGACTCATGAATCAAGTCGTATTAGCGAGGGCATAGCAGGACTGGTGGGCGCCAATCTACCACTCCAACTTCAAGTAGATTGGATTTCTGAACTTTATTCAATTATACGAGAACGAGGCTACCGAAACGAATAGGAGCGCGTCACTGATGACTTTACGCGAATGATACGCTGCTGTATTACACAGGATGAGTAGTATAACTTCTTCGCCTTGAACAATTCCTAAAGTATTCTATATAAAAATTTTAAAAAGTAGAATTCATGTCGAACCATTCAGAACACCCCATTGAAGCCACGAATCTCCATCTAAGTACCTCTGGGTCGACGACGACGCAAATGTAGATTTATCTGGATAACAGAAAGGGTTGAAAAGGACTCACAGAAGAAAGACGACTATACATGGTCATAGTGAAGCTCAATCTCCAGAATCTTACGGAGAGAATGTTCGATGTTCGGGGGATATCTTGAACGGTCATCGATATACTCGGACAGGTATTCGCCATGCATGTTTTTACGATCGAGGCATAAAAGGTGGCTTGAAAGCACCAGTATCTTGCAATGCTAGCTATTTTTCTTCTTGAACATCTGCCGTTGCTAGGTACGGATCGGCGTCGCAGCTCGAAGGGTTGTTCCTCGTACGCGAACGAAAAGAACAATGATGGTGATACTCATCGTTGCACATTTATTACACATGAATTTATTAGGTGATACCATAATTGCCTGCCTTCTTTAAATTAACATTTTATAGCGATAACAATTTTTTCACACGTTTTCAATCAGACATAATTCTTCCCTCTCTCTAGAATATTGACTAAAAAAATGTTATTACATAAAATAATAGACGAAGCGTTCTAGTAGTTTATATAACTCTTTTTTGCACGAGCGACCACCGACGGTGTTACAACATGGCGTCCGGAGGCAGACGCGTTCTACACTTACCTTCTCACGGTCTCGTATGTAACGAAGACGTTAAATAAATACTAATTAAAATCACTGCTGGTTAAATCGTTTGTTTATTCTACTGTACGTTTTAAAAAACACGGTGGCTATAAAATTAGTCCCGTGTTAAAGAGATAAGCGTCACGGTGCTCGTGGCGATGCAGTCTCTGTTTCTTATTCGAATGTCGAATATTCAAATGACCCTTGCGACGGGATTATCGACGCGAATGATCGTGCGCGGAATCCTCATGCGACCCTATTGTCAGGACAATACGTTCTCCGGTGACTTGTTTCTATTCTGAGAATTCATTTGCGGAAAAGTCGCGGTCTGGCGCGATACGGAATGGCGCGTTCATGTCTCCTCGCGGCCATTAATAATAAAAGAAAGACTGGAAGGTGGAAATTATCGCTTCCGTTCTTGCGACAACGCGAATTTACAACCTCCCTCTTTATCGCGCAATTTAACTTACGTTCGAGTATATTTGTCACGTTACATTTCCGAACCTGGAACAATTCTTAAACAGTGTTCCAGACTAAAAGTTAAATCACAGGTAAACGAGAAGGATCGTACGAGGACGATCGAAGTCAAATGTTGGGCGCTCGATGCATTTTCTACGGAAGAAATGGCCAAAATGTTTCCGTCCATCCCGGATAAATTGACGCGCAATCGCGATAATTAATCTCGTAAACAAAGTTGGAGTTTTCATACCTAGGGAACGAGTGGAGAAAAATAAATAAAGAGGAGAGAGAAATACGAGGGATCGAAAGGGTGAAAATGCGCGCGATGGTGCGCAGCCAGCGGCCGCGCGTCAGAAGCGAACCCGGGGGGGGAGGTATGGGAGGAGGCGTGGCGAGGACGCGCACACTCCACGTGACCCTGTCGTTTCGGAGGGCGGGACTTACGGAACCCGGCACACAACTACAACGGCAGTAGAACGGGCCGGTGGTCTGTCTGTCGTCGCGCGCGCGGAACACCTCGAGTTGCGCTCGTTCCGCGTACAACACCTGCCGATTGCTCGGTCTCGTGCACTCGATTCCCATTCGTGACATTTCGACAGTGCCGTAGCCCGCGAACGCGACAGAATCGGGAAGAAAACAACGCAACAACATGGACGATAACAAAACGCTGATAGAGACAACGACCCTCGTCCACGCGACGCAACGAGGTTGATCTCCCCCCAAAGAAACCGAAACGCTGCCGAAAGGTACCCGCGAACATAGAGCGAAACGCAGCGACATGTTGCTACCCCAAGACATGATGGCAGCCCAGTCGAAGATGCTCTATCAGATGAACAAGTACTACGGCGAACGGGTGCAGGCCCGCATGGGCCAGGTTCAAAAGACCATTCGGGAAGTGTGCAAGGTGGTGCAGGACGTGCTGAAGGAGGTGGAGGTTCAAGAGCCGCGGTTCATATCGTCTCTGACCGAGTGCAACGGCCGCTACGAGGGCCTCGAGGTAATCTCGCCCGGCGAGTTCGAGGTGGTCCTCTACCTGAATCAGATGGGTGTGTTCAACTTCGTCGACGACGGCACCCTGCCGGGCTGCGCCGTTCTGAAGCTCAGCGACGGACGGAAGAGGTCCATGTCGCTCTGGGTCGAGTTCATCACCGCCTCCGGTTACCTGTCCGCCAGGAAGATACGTTCGCGATTTCAGACCCTGGTGGCACAGGCATGCGACAAGTGCACCTACAGAGACTCCGTGAAGATGATAGCGGACACGACGGAAGTGAAGCTTCGGATCAGAGAGAGATACGTGGTGCAGATCACGCCAGCGTTCAAATGCTCGGGCGTATGGCCGAGATCGGCGGCCCACTGGCCGATCCCCCACATACCCTGGCCGCATCCGAATCTCGTGGCCGAGGTGAAAACCGAGGGCTTCGATCTATTATCCAAGGAGAGCGTGGCCCTGCAAGGCAAACAATCCGCCATGGAGGGCGACGCTTGGGTTCTCTCGTTCACGGAAGCTGAGACCAGACTGCTACACGGGGGCTGTCGCAGAAGATGCTTGAGTATACTGAAGACTCTAAGGGACAGACACCTAGATCTTCCTGGCAACCCAGTTTCCAGCTACCACATGAAGACGCTGTTGCTCTACGAATGCGAGAAGCATCCCCTCGAGACAGAGTGGGACGAGGGGAGTCTGGCGGACCGCATCAACGGCATCTTCCTGCAGCTGATATCCTGCCTTCAATGTCGAAGGTGTCCTCATTACTTCCTGCCTAACTTGGATCTGTTCAAGGGGAAGTCGCCCAGCGGGCTGGAGAACGCCGCGAAGCAAGTGTGGAGACTCTCCAGGGAGTTGCTCACGAACAGTCGTGCTTTGGAGAAGCTTTAGCCGGAAACCGTGTTGCCTGGCTAGGGCATGGGAGTTTCGCGCGTTCGGAACGTTGCTTTCGCGGCAGTTTCCTTTTATCCGCTTTTATACCCTCGCCGCAAACGTGGACGGTCCGCTTTCACCCGTTATTTTCTACTTGCTTGAACGTATCGGGCTAGGAAGATCGTGTAACCGCGCCTCGACACTTAATCCCTTGCCTCGCGATTTAATTTGAGACGCAGCGTGTCTCGGTGAGAGAAAAATTTGAAAAACAAAACAGAATCGCGTTCGACGGGCATCGGCTGCTCTCACGTTCGCGTGAATTCCACAATTCCATCGATCTCTACAGAATTTTGTACGTAAATTACAACAGTGGCCGGCGGCAGATGAACAATTAAGTGTTGAACGTGTTATTCCTCTTCTTGTTCGGTAAACGTCAAGCTTCGATTGGCGTACAGGCGCGCTTCGTGTCCGGTGCAATATGAAGTTATGTTTTTTCGCGCGAAAACTATTGTTGCTAGGTTTTAGTTTCCTATATCGCGTGACCGAAATCGATTCATGGGAGGGAACATTAAATTTTCATCGAACCAATCGTGGACGTCGATCGAGTTGGTCGATGATCGACGATCCACTCGAAAATATCGATCACCGTGTTTTTATACGACCGAAGCTTCCGCTTGAAACTGGAATCTCCGCGCTTACTAACGCAGATTAAACTGCCACGCACTCGAGCGCCGAATCGTCGACATAGCGTTACAATATTACGAGCGATTAATTAACTACTCCGTTAGCTACTCTTACCTGTTTAATATGGCTGATGTGAATATCGTCGTGTGATCCGTTGTCGTTATTAATCTAATGTTTATAATCGGTTAGCAGCGAGAGCTTCCGACGGTAGTTGGACACTACGCATTGTTATATGTACATACTTTTTTATATTATTTAAACGATATTTATTTTTACTCGAATCGCTGTTCGAACACATGATTGTAAATAATTAATAAACGCATTTCGTCTCGTATACAACGCCTGCGTACTCAATCGAACGAAACCTTCCCACGCGCGAAATAAACCGGAAAAGTATTAACAGATAGTTTCAAAACCCAACCCTTATCAGTCTTCTCTACTCGTAATTAGATATCGTTACAAATTAGCAACGGAAGTAAAAATATCATGGAATTCTACGAACGACGGGAACAAATTTGTTCGTCCTACGATAAATATACACCGATGTCATTGCTAATTAGCTTGTGCATCCAACTATAGTCCACCAATCTGAAGTTGAGAAGCTCCTACGCGTTTCTGATTATAAGAACAAGTTTCTCTTGTACCGTACAAGGTTCGAACGTATTCTGCAAGTTTTCTTTGCCATGTAAATTAGAAGAGAATGGACATATCGTATGAAAATAATTATGCAATTGCACGAGGACGAGGCGCGACTGGAACAGGCTGGATTTTATTTTCAAATATTCTGGTCCTGAAAATACTCTCACCGTGTTTGCACGTATCCCGCGAGGTTAGATATAAATACTTTCATGGTGTTAATATAAAAACAGATTAAATCTTACGGTACAAAGAACACGATAAATACAAAACAATGTAAACGAGGGAAAGATAGCAAGAAACACCTCGCGTACAATGTAATTTGAAAAATAAAATAGCAGCGGCCTTCAACGGAGAGCAAAATAACGTATGCGAGTAAAGAGAGGTATAGATTACAGCTACAAGCAATAATTAACCTAGCCCCGACGGCTAACTAGTCCCTAGAGGAACACCCAGTAGAATTTATCTCAATAATTCGTTATTATGACGGCCGACGAATTGCTGATAATTTTTCACCGTCCAGTCGATTCGTGGCTCGCGATATAAAAGACGGGTACTTAAAACCATCGGGACCGTAATTATTATCTACGATATTAACACTTCTATACGTGCTCGTGGAGATTGAAACGCCTCGTGAAAGCATCGCTACCGAGTTTCATGGCCGCTACACGCCCACGAGGGCCGGTCGTGTCCTTATCTTAATTCACTCCTGAAATTTCTCCGCTTATCTTTCCCGCGGCAACGACACGCTGCCACTCAGTTTCCGCGCTCGCTGCAATCGTTACGGGATTTACGTTATTATTATTGCCCCGTAAAACAAAGTAAGAGAGAGGGATATTCACGGCGAACGCGCCCCAATGAAGCACACTTTACGCGCCGTATCTCGCAGTTCCCTCCGCGATTTACAAGCCTTAATGGTAGAGTTATCGGTGTCGTCGTTAAACGTAGATTTTATACCGACTTTTTGCGCCGGCGACCGGCCGGTTCTGAATAAAATGCCTGTAAATAAAACCAGCCCGCCTCCTTTCACGGTCCTTCTGATAAGTCAGGATACTGCTCTCGGACCGAACGCGGACGAATTTCTTATTTTAGCAAACCGAGAACACGCGGCGCAACCTTGAGACCGGGAACAGGAACGGGAACCTCTGAACTCCATTGGATGCAGGATTGGCTAGTGGAAATTATCTATTCGATGGAAGGGCGTTTGACTCAGGGTGGTCCTTCAACGACGTATCGAACGAAAAAAGTCTCGATCAGTCTCGGGTTAATCGACTTTAGATATTCTTTGAACCAAGATTTTTCATGCAAAATATCATTTAACGATATTTCTAACATGGAGAAAGGAAGACTATCTACTACTCGTACGAACTGCATACTGCACTATGTAGATATATCAACAAGTTTAGCGCGAACTTGTAACCGAGGCAGTGGCTTAGGCGCAGATAAATAAGTGGCAGGAGTGAGGCCAAACGATTAGTCCAACGCCTAGCCAGCGAGTGTCATCTGATACTGTTTAAGAGAAGCAAGACCACGGAAGTATGATAAGGAGAAACGATGAACCGAGTCTGGGATCTTATTTAACTTGTTGAGCTATACCATTCGATGCAACAGCTAGAACACCTATTGCCTGACCATCGCTTTATAAAAATCGGTATAATATAGTTACGGAGTCGGCCCATATTTTGTGACGATCGTAACTACGAATAGTTTCTGCAACTCCTAAACGTGGCATCGATAAATTATGGTAAAAATATAAACGATATTATGTATCTACACAATGCTTAGATCACTTGTCCTTTTATCTTGGGACAACTGCGGTATCTACACCCTCGAGAACAATATGGAAATTCCGTCTATTGAAACTAAAACTGTATAGCTTAAGATATGAAAATATCGACCCATTTACTTGAATTTACGACTTATTCTTACCTAACCATTACCATTATACGTTCGCATAGACTTCTTCGTGGAAAACTGTGCGTCCTTCGGACATGATTTATGCGAAACTATTATATTTTGCAATTACCCGGACTCGATTCTGAATACAACACAGCTCAAAAGTACTTCGTTCGAATAAAAAGATAAATAATTGGCGATCGACTATGGAACGAAGCGACCCTATCGAACGATGAACAAACGTATGCCCGTTGTTGGGCAAAGGTACCTAGCCAAGCGTGATTCGGGGATCGTGCGATCTCCACCATAACTAAAATTTCGGGGCAGCTCGAAAGGGGTTGCGGAGGAATGGCCGTGCCCCGCGCGTCCACGGGCACGAAATAAAACGAGTCTAATCTGCATAATTCATGGGGGAAGAAGGGCTCGAGTTTGGGGTTAGCCGCGCCGTTGCCTTCGTCCTTCGAAGAGCCGCGTAACGTATAGGCAAACGGAGTCGCGGGATCGATCTTGTCGGTCCGGCAAGACAGGCCACGCCCCGTTTCGAGAGCCAGTCGTACGATTGGTCGAGCGGGTGGCCACGTGGCGTGGCCTGGGTTAGGTCTCGGTTAGAGCTGGTTCCTCAGCACGCCTTCGCTCGACCCGCTAGAGCGGGCGGTGCGGAGGAGGTGAACGACAGCGCAGTCGACAATCTGCTCCTGCACGGAGTCGCTCGCACACCTTCTCCTCCCGCTTATCGCTCGTGTCTCCGGCGCTTCACCGGCATCCCTTCAGCGACGCGACGCGCCGCGCGAGGAAAACCGACCGAGAGGAACGGGTCCACGGAACGAGTTTTAAAGTTTTCGTCGGTCAGCAACGACCGAGTCCCTCGGTCAGGTCGCACGGGGCCGTAACGACCGCGTAGGCTAGATGGAACGTCAGGGAAGAACGGCGTCTCGCTGAAACCGCGAGGATTCTAGGTCGTCGGGGGCGTCGATCACGATGACGCGGTGATCGGTGGGAAAGACTCGACAGAGGAGCCGCTACGTAGGCTTTGGGCCGCCGCAACGATGCTGTTGCCGGCCGATATGCTTGCGGCCCAGTCCAAGATGGTGTACCAGATCAACAAGTACTTCGGCGAGAGGGTGATGACCAGGAAAAGCCAAGTGATGAAGACGATACAGGAGGTCTGTCGCGTTGTGCAGGACGTGTTAAAGGAGGTCGAAGTGCAGGAGCCTAGGTTCATATCCTCGTTGACGGACTACAACGGTCGGTTCGACGGGCTGGACGTGATCTCGCCGACGGAGTTCGAGATCGTGATCTACCTAAACCAGATGGGGGTTCTGAATTTCGTGGACGACGGCACGCTGCCCGGCTGTGCCGTGCTGAAGCTCAGCGACGGACGGAAGAGGTCCATGTCCCTTTGGGTAGAGTTCATTACCGCGTCGGGTTATCTGTCCGCTAGAAAGATACGCTCGAGGTTTCAAACTCTGGTGGCGCAAGCCTGCGACAAGTGCGCTTACAGGGACTCCGTGAAGATGATAGCCGACACCACGGAAGTGAAGCTTCGGATCAGAGAGAGATACGTGGTGCAGATCACACCAGCGTTCAAATGCGCGGGGCTCTGGCCACGATCGGCCTCCCACTGGCCCATAGCTCATATACCTTGGCCCCATCCGAACATCGTCGCGGAAGTAAAGACAGAGGGTTTCGATATGCTGTCCAAAGAGTGCATAGGCTTGCAGGGAAAGCAATCCGCGATGGAGGGAGACGCCTGGGCGTTATCGTTCATAGACGCCGAGAATCGGCTGCTCCAAGGCGGCAGCAGAAAACGTTGCCTGAGCATCCTGAAGACTCTGAGGGATCGACACCTCGATCTACCGGGCAACCCTGTCACCAGCTATCACATGAAGACCCTGTTGCTTTACGAGTGCGAGAAACACCCGCACGAGATCGAGTGGGACGAGACGTGTATCGGTGACCGTATCAACGGGATTCTATTGCAACTGATCTCCTGCCTGCAGTGTCGCAGGTGTCCTCACTATTTCTTGCCAAATCTCGATCTATTCAAGGGAAAGTCGCCCAGCGGGCTGGAGAACGCCGCGAAGCAAGTGTGGAGACTCACCAGGGAGCTGCTGACCAACAGTCGCGCTCTCGAGAAGCTGTAGTCGAGCCAAACGACCAGACGACGAGGATTATCCAAGACGACATCGACGACTCTGTGCCCGCAGACGTGTAGTGTGTGCTCGCAACGATCGTTGACGAGATCAATTGCGCATGCATGAGTGATTCTGTGATCCACGGGCCCCGCGGACGATCGAATCAGTGCCATAAAATACGCTGTCGTTCCGCATCTCCTTTCGTTCCGCGGCAGAACGTTCCTCGACCCGATACAGGTCGCCGACGGCAGCTCGCGCCGAATCGCGAAACATCGGCGTTTGCTCTTAACCGGTGATAACCATTATTCGTTTGCACATTGTATCGTACGCGTTGCTCGACTCCGCACTCGAGAAACGCGAGATTAAAACCAGATCGAACGCGATTTCGAGAGCAATTTAACGGTCCATCGTCATCTTCCGGTATCGACGACGTTCAGCGCGAGTCACCGGTTACGGGTTCGCTTAGTCTTTTTCTTCTAATCGACTGTCCTGTCCCCGCCGCAATGTAAATACATCTTAAAAGATATTTATTGAAGTGTAAACGAAATTGTGAAATACAATGCTATTTATATGGAACCGTAGACCACGGTGTTGCTATTGTCGTCATTTCGTCTTACGAGCACCACCCACCTCCTTTTACCTACGAATCTTCGAGAGATCGAGCCACCGTAAATATCGATCGTTAAACGTTCCAAGGTGGAACCGGAGCTAGGCCTCGTAAATTTTACGCCCGATTCTTGCGCCTTTTTGTGCGCCTCTCCACTGGAGATCGAGTGGAACCAGTCCAGACGAATAAAATTCCGACGACGAATTCCAGTTCGAGGAAACGAAATGTTTAATGCGCTCGCCTGTCGATTTCGCCGACGGTAATAATTTTCCTTGGTGTTTTGTCTAACCGAATATTTTGACGTGCACGGCTTTGAAACGCTGTTCTAGTAGGACAGGACGCTCTTTGGCCGGACGATGAATTCGACATTATCTCGAGGAAACGGAATATTTAATTGCCGCGATAAAGAAACGCGTAGTTTCCGGCGTGTTTTGACTACCAAAGTTTTAATATTTTTAAAAATCTCGGTTCGTGATTGGATGGAAATAGAGGGTATTCTACTCGCTGAGTAAACGCACGATCGAATCGCAATTTCCAGTGAATTTGATTTTTATAATTATGAATTGAGTTTCCCGATGATGAAAATGTCATTCTAGTCAAACAACGTCGATTGTCTCTTTTAGATCGAGTAGACAGGATCGTTCTTCTTGCTATTTTTCTCATGCACGTCTATACTTTGAATGTGTGTGAAAATCTATTAGTCAGTCGACTACTAGTTTCGCACCACGATAAACAAATATGTCGTTATCTGAACAAGCCAACTAGCTGCACGTTATTTACACACCAGCTAATATCTCTATTGTAAAATTCGAAGAACGGTCGTTACGCGGCAATCAACGGTATTTATCGTAAAATATTACCGCTCGTAAAAAACGTGTTTTATGCCAGTCGTGGTTAGAATCCTGAAATCATGGTAAGTTCAGTGAGAATTTAAGTGTTTCTCTTTTCTGTTTCTGCTCTTGTGCGAATCGAGAATAATATCGAACAACAGTTGAACCTTAACCGATGATCATTAATGGGTATTCTAGTCTGTCTTACTTTTTGTTTGCAATTTCTTATAGTTTGAGATCTCAAAGATACGCTGTTAAACAATTTTATCAAAATTCATATAAATACGTCAGCTACGCGGTAGTGGATCTAGAAGATCTCTAATGTATATCCCTATATATTTAAGATCAGGTTGGACAACACCCTCTGACTCTTTCTCGCCATTGAGCAAATTATTATTATATAAAAATGATATGTATATTGTACTTATCTATACAATAAAGACGTTTAATAATAATAACAGCTTCAGTGGAGTGTGAAGGGTTAAATTCCTAGTCAGAATGTCTGAAACTACGATAGAACGGTGTCGCGTTGTGCATAAAGATAGCGCAATCGACGCGAGCGCATACGACGTTGTTTACGACTTCATTTTAATGGCATTTGCAACGTTGCTTAAGAGAATATAAAAATAATTGTTCAAGAAATGTTATTATCGGCCCCTCAAAGCATTCAGACGATTTTTACGTTCCATTCGACCCGTGATAACATGAAAAGCCTTGACAAGGCAGAGATAGAACGAACAGAGATGAAGAACATTCAATGACACGCCATCGAACAGAGTTATTGTTAACGAACTCTCCTAGAAATGTTTCTTCGTTGGTATTGGGTAGACGAAGTTCGAGAAATACTATATTAAATGATCTACTTGACACAGCACGAAAGCAAGAGAACAAATGAGAGGCAGATTTACGCGTGTAATCGATTTCGACCGTCCGATGGGAACATCTCCGCGTAACTGACGCAAACGAGCGCAAACCTGGCAGGAATTCAAACAACAATTACTAATATCCGTGTTTACCGTGCGTGCATCAGGGAAACTTCAAATAGCTTCGTGAGGGAAAACGGAACGCGTGCATAATCCGCGTAAGCGAGAAGCAGAATCTGCTACTCTGTCTTAATAAGTGTCTATGCACTACCATTGATTAGCGATCGCAAGGTATCGACGATATAATTAATATTAGTGTCTAATAGGCGACAGGATTCGATAAATCATAGCTAATTACTATCTGGAAAAGGTGTTGGGATTCTCACGGAAACGAGTTAAGCGGACTTGATTTACCACTTTTCAATTTTTCATGCCTGGTAATTTGTTATTTTATCACCTTACTTCCTTGAGAACTATTCAGCTTTACGAAGTCTGCACTTATATTCGCGTATGTCATTTGAAAAGTGACGTTTTTTTACTGATTTAGGTCTTCTGTACGGTCAATACGTTATACAGAGTGTTTCAAAACGCATGGACGTAACTTCAGAGGCGAATGCAACATGCTAAAGTTAGAAAAAAAGGTTCATAGTCCGATATAATCTTGCTTTCGGATTACATCGATCTTTATTCTAATATTACGTAGATAAAATGTGGACTGTAGACTGTATCTTTAACTACAGGTAGACAAATATTTCAGGATAATGGAGTATTCTTGTCACGATCGAGTGGAGATTTTAAAAGGCTCTTACTGCATAAAATTACTTTGGGACCTCTAACTCTTCGCTACCTGAAACACACTACTACATCTTTCTATTTTAGAGTGTCTGTTACTGCATTAGGACAGATTTGCAAGGTACGTTCTCACAAAAAAAAACACGTAATCCCTGGTGATTTCTAGTGACACGATCGTTCATTAAACATCAATACATTATTCAACGTCTCTTGAATTAGAATGCTTCGAAATTCTTCTTAATATCAATTATATTCCCTTTCCGTTTTGAAGCTTGCACAGACTAATCTCTGAATATAAATTTTCAAATGAACAAGCATGAGACCACACGATAAAAAAAATACGTGGAGCTCGCAATATGAGTTTATGGTTGTGGGAGGCATCTTGGATGATTTTTATCGTCGCACAACGCGAAGTAAATTAAAATTTCCCGTCGTTGTTGGAACACGTTTCGCGAGATTTTATCGCCCGGCGGATTTCATCGTGCGAAATCAGCAATTAAGGTTATATTATAATATTTAGAATAACCACGACACGCTCGTATCGTTTTCCCGTTACGCGACCAAGGATCTCGAGATAGTTACCGGTCGACTTTTGTTTTCTGTTTTATTTCACGTCAAAGTCGCGGTAATTGTCAGATAAACATGCAAATTTATTCATCGGTGTAATTTGTTGCACGCATGACTGCTTAATATTTAATCCACGAACGAGGGACCGACGATAGCGTATACGCTAAAGAATTCCGAATTTAACAACCGTGTTATAATGTTGTCGCGCGAGTCGTTTGTCTTCTCTGTTAACCGTGGAACGTGCCTTTTCTTTAGAGAACGGCCACATTCTCCAACATTTATTTGTTTCGCGTTTGCTTGTTCGTCGATCTTGAGCTCCAATCGATTGCACGACTGTCCAGGAACGCTAAAATTCACGTAATGTAATGTACCAACCCTCGGTAAACGTTGATGGGTCGTCAATAATCCGTAAATATTATGCAACGAAGATTTTTAACGGCAGAAAACGCGCGTGATAAACATCAGTTTTGACTGCAAGCGTTATTACAAATAAAAAAAAAAGGAAATAGATTGGATAACAGATTTTCTACAGTGGCGTCGAGTTGAGCCGCTTTGGAGAATCGACTTTTCGAAAGATTTATGGTAGAATAGGGCAACGAAGGCTCTACTGTAATCATTCGACGATCGTGCTTTCCTCGACGGTGTATCTACCGGCTCGAAGATGTTTTGGAAACGAGCTCCTCGATTTACGGACGAACAATCGAATCGATTTAAAGCAGCGAACAAGCTGGATTACGAAATCCGCGGGCCCCCAGATAGGGCCCCGCGCGGCCCGGCGAAAAGGAAGCGGCGAAATTACGGCCACAGAACCGTCGAAGTTATCGAAGCGGCGAGAAACACGGCGGAGCGACGAGCAACACCGGGGGAAAAGGAGAGACGAAGAAACGCGAGGGGCGGGGAAGAGAAGATCCAGACATGGTATGCTAATGAGGGTACCAGCTTTCCTCTTTTTTGTCGCGACGTTCTTGCGGGCCCCGTACAGATTCTATACATCGAACCGCCTCTCACGATCCGGTCTTGAAATTCGTCCTCGCCGCGCTGAATCCTCGTGGCAGTGGGAAACAAAGGCCGAAATCCATGAAAACGGAGTGGACAAAAGCGTGGACGAGGGAGGAGAATCAGCTCGAGGGGGTACCCTCGTTCGAGGAAGTCTACTTCCTTTTGTATTGGATAATTTGTATACCGTGTAAACGTGTTCCTAAAAGATAAGCCCAAGTTGCGTGTACGGAAGAAACAAATAGCTACAGTATCGAAACGGGTGTGGAACTATAAATATCAAAATGAAATCAGTTTCCAGATTTACACCACCTTCGTAATTACCACGGCTCTCAGAAAGCTGCTCTCGAGAGTAGAATTCCCATCTAGTCGGAGAGCAGAAGTTCTACCCGCGAATGGAATCGAAGGAGCGTAGGCAGAAAGGCGATGGTTGCGCGCTGGCCGTGTCGGGCCCCGAAGTCCCTTCAGTCTTCGGGGCGATCCGGGGCCCGGTCCCCACGGCTCTGCCCGGGACCTCCGCTATAAAACGCTCAGATAAAGCCGCGATGTTTATATGCGGGGATCGCAGCGAGAGAAGAGAGGAGTGCCGTGTAGAAGGAGAGATATACCTGCGGGCCGCGCGCCGACAAAATAATAAGACAAAAGCCGGGGGTGGACGATGCGAGCGAGCGTGGTGGTGGGAGGGGGGGGGGCAGGGGGCCTTTCGCGGCCAGACGAAGGGACAAGGACGCGAGACGGGGACCGCGTAGCGAGATCGTCGGAGAGGGAGGAAGAAAAGACGAGAGAGGAGAGGAGACAGGGGGCGAGGATACGAAAGAGGGAGGAAGGAACAGAAGGGGGGGAGCTCTGCGTCGTATCAGAGACGGTAGATAGGTCGAGGGGAGCCGAAAGGGGGGCAACCAGAAAAGGAGAAAACCGGACAGGAATGCATGGATGAATGCGCTGCGTTGCAGGCTAC